GCTACCCAACTGTACGCAAAAGCAGAAACAACGCCGCTTCAAGAAAAAGCAAGCAGAAATCGTACAAAACTTTTCACATCAGGCCGACCGCTGTGACCCGGACGGACGATTACTGGGAATACGATCTATCGGGACATATTCTCAAGGGCCTTCCAAACACCCGGTAGAGTGTACCGGGCCTCGCTGCCCACCTGAGTAGTGGCAAAGTAGATTCAATTACGATAATGTCGAATTAGCTCACGAAGCAGGGATGAATCTGGGTTGGGGTTGAGGGTGGCTACGAGTGCCGAGCGCGGAAAGTCTGCGTTAGAGTTCTAGCTTACATTCTGAGCCCAAGTCATTGATCAGAAGTCAATCTAGACCTGAGGCAACATAAAGGAATAATAATGTTCACCTGCAGGCGACTGCGAGAAGACGGCACTCGCAGGAAAAGCAAGCAAGATTTGAAGGGTTTACTTGGCAATCAGACCCACTGATGTCGCTGCCAGAGTGTTCGCATGCTAGCAATCCTGGCAACGAGAAAACGTGCGTCAGCACTCGTTCCCACACACGTGATCAACGGCACAGCGCCCTCTCTACGCATTGCAGTTCTTTTGGGGGCCTACCAGAAGTGAGCTCCTTTCTCCTTAGTAGTAAAGTAGAAACCTGGGCTTGAGCGCAAACAGCACAGCAAAAAAAAGGGTTTTCGCTTTTGAAGGCAAGCGGCTATTCGCTGCCCATTTCTTCACTTAAACATGCAGGCGTTTGCTTTCTCGTCCTCTGGCTACTAGGTAAGATGTTTCAGTCCGCCAGGTTGCCCCTCGCATGCCAAAAGCCCACGAGTCAACCGAGATTTGATGCTTTGCTTTTTCGTCCCATTGCATACGGGTTTATCGCCAGGGCAACCCATCGAGAACTCTTTACCTTGCCTCCGGAGTGCTTGTCAAGCCCCTCCCAGTCAAAGAAGTTGGCCTCGCGAACGGCGTCCGCTGGCCGCTTCACGAGCGCCGCCACGTGTTCGATGATTGTCTCGTAGAGCAGGGCGCCCTGCGGTCGACCGGGGCCTGACGGAAACAAAGAGGTTCCCATTAGGCGGGCAGCCCAAGATAGAAATAGCTCAGCTGGTGGGCCATAGGTCTTGTAAGGGTACCCAGAGGCGTCCTTCTTTCACGGTACCAGTTTGCTACCGTTTATCCAAGAGGCTGAAACGCTAAGCATCGGCTGAATCGTGTGCCGGCAGCGGCAGTAAGACGGGGGACGCAACATTATGCGGACTGATTGTGCCTTTCACAGTCTCCCTTCTCTTGGTTCAGAAGCTTCAACAGCTATGTTCCAAATCGTTGTTTGGTTATAATCAGCCTCTCTGGCAGCGACATTGGCCACAAAAAATAGTACTAGCGACAATTATCATGAGATAGAAAAAGGTCTAAGGCAGTAAACGGGAGGAGATCAGCACCATAATCCTGACGTGATTAGGCCGTACCAGCTTACAGAAAAGGTTTGCGCCCAAAGCGGACGCAGCTTTCGGACCAACCTGCATTACAATCGACTTACCTCTCACGGTGGTTTTGGTAGACACGTTTGTCTTGCATCCAATGACCTCCATGCTCAGGTTCGGGATATCGTACGTCTCTCCGCGGGCGATGTCCATCGCTGCCACGTCACTCAGGTCCTTGTTCCACCCGCAATTGACCAGAGCCTGTAAAAGTTCGATATGCTAGGGTTCGGAGGTATGGACTTGCGCGCTTCAGACGTCACTAAATCATTTCGAAAGGCCTCTGCGAGACGCTATTCATGAAATTCAGTAACAACGGTACTGCTTACATGCAAGGATCCAGAGCCTACGAGGCAAGGCCTGGAGAGGACTGTGGTTGATTCAAAACTTTAAGTGGGTACGAACGCCGAAAAGTGTCAGAATTCCTGTGGTCGAGTTTTCTGAGTTCTGTGGTCAGGATTCTCAGACCACTGGAACGAGATCCTCATATGGGGCCAACATCAACGAGGAAAGTGGCAGGAATGCAGTACAATTACTACATGCAGCTCATTACCAGTCAATGCAGACTAAAAGGCCAAAACGAATCAAAGCAACACCAATTCTCCTGTGACCCGCACTTGTAAAATCACGGAAGAGTTACCCCCGCCTTACCTTCACTTTCAGCGACGTAATCTTGCCCTCCTCCGTGAAACCGACGTCGTACTCCGCGTGCATCGGCTCTCGCCCTCCAGTAATCTTCATGTCCGTGTTCCGGTCCAGGGTTAACCTAACCGGTCGGTTATACTTCCTGGCGGCCACAGCAGCAGCCCCTGCAATCGGCTGAGCCCGCGAGACTTTGCCCCCGAAGGCGCCCCCCACTCGACGTGTGATCACGCGGATGGAGTGCTTTGGGACGTCCAAAAGCGGGGCGAGAGTGTCGGAGATGAGGTTCGGGCCCTGCGATTGAGGGACACGTGTCAGAGTGGGAGTGGTTGGTCCGCCATGAGCACAGAGCATATTCACAGAGCGGGCATATATGCAGAAAGAGGCGCTTTGGAACGCCCGTAATTACAGCGTACGGTACACAGATGACGTCCGGGCCTTGTGCGAGGCAGTACTCGCAAAATGATGACTGTTTGGGGGGCAAACCATGGATTTTGACATTAGGGGGACGAATAAAGATCAGATTGGTTGCTCAAATCATGAAGCGGGGGTGTTTAGGGCGGGTATGGGTGCGGAGCGGATGGCTAGCCTGTTGGGTTAGGTTTTATTACTAAATAGTTAAGAGCTTTCCAAAAACCCTAAAATCCTAAAACCCTAAATAGATTCATAAGCTCACCTGGCAGGAGCTGTAGACGGTCATGAAGCGGTCCTCGTCCGGCACCGCGAGCGCCGTCTGGGGCTCCATGTAAAAGTGCTGCTGAGACGCGCACCGCACTTTGCCGGACACCGTGCGGGGGGCCTCCTCCAAGGCCTTTGCGGAGTCGCCGCGCTTTGGGATCATGCCTGAGACACAAACAAGAATTCTATCCTAAGGTCGTTGTTCGTGGTTTTCAGAGAAAAGGACTGCCGTTGAGACGCAAACAGCACGGAACCGGACGCTGTGAGTGGGACCTACTCCAAAGCTTCTGCGGAGTCGCCAGTCTTCTGGAATTATACTCGAGAAGGAGAAAAAATGGTCCCTCAGAATCATCACGCAAAAATAAGCAAAAACAAAGCTCGAACGAAGAACGCGGCTGAAAACTTGTCCCAAGAGCCTCCTCCGAGGCCCTTCCAGCGGCGCTACGCTTTGAAAGCCCGTGGATGGTTGCAAAACAGAAAGCAGAGAATTGAGATCTCAAGGGAGTTTGAACTTTTGCATGTCTAGTGACTCACTCGAACCAACAGTAGAACACGATGCAAGACAAAACAAAGAAGCAGACCGTTTATGCGACCTGTTGTGGTCCGGCCAAATGAAGCGGCCCCTCGCTGACACGTGGCAAACCCACCTTGCACGAACGGCGCCCACGTGACGAACTCGGTCGCCTGCTCTGGCTCCAAGACGGGCGCTCCTAGGGACGACGAGTCGTACTCAACAAGGACGCGCTTGGCGGCTTCGGACGCGTGCCTGGGCAGAATACCGGGGACAGAGTCGTGAGCATTGCGACCAAAAGCGTAAGGTAGGTTCAAATTGTCACAGTTACAGTCAAAGTCACAGTTACAGTCACAGTCACAGTCAGAGTTACTGTCACCGCATCACCCTAAGATTGACACAGGCAGGTCAATTCCATCCATTGGCGGTCGCCCAGCTACCGGCCAGCAATGGCAAGCGCCTGGGGAACGGAGCGAGTTACAGATATAGTTCCGGCCATCAGTCATAACTGAAGCACAGAATCCGAACGACGCAAGTTGCCAAGTGGAAAGATCCGCTACTTACTTTGGACTGTCCGCAACGATAAACCCAAACTGCTTACCTTGGACTGTCCGCAACGATTAACCCGAGCGGCTGGCCCATGTACTCGACCTTGTCGTTGACAGCGATGAATAGAGGCTCCTCGGTTCCAAAGGCTTCAGCGCCAACGTTCCTGCCTGGAATGTCTTTGCTGTCCACGAATCTGCGGGGGAGAGATTTGGGATGTATCAGTTTTGAAACATTCTCGTGCTGGTCTGCGTGTATTCTTCGAGCTCGGGCCTGGAAAGTGTCCGTTGCTGGAATCCCACAATCTCTCAATGCGGGTGCAGATTCTTATCGGAAGATCAGTTGCTAACAGGACATCTGCTAGACGGGGTTTCAGCATTTGCAGGAACCATTGTTTGGGAGAGCTGCTCCTCGCTTTCTCCCACGAGAACCACTCATCCTTCTTTGGGCAAACGGCAACGAAATTTGGTCCGAAGAGGCCAGAAAGCACCCAAAATAGTACTAAGCGGTACGCATCCCAAGACGGATAACGACTGACTTTGCAAGAAGGGCGCATAGCAGAGCTATACGATAGACGAAAAGGGGCAATTAAAAGATCGAAGAGCGGGACAGGAGGCCCTAAAGCTACCCGAGAAAGGAGCAACGGAAGGGTAAAGAACACATGTAAGCCACAAAGAGAAGAAAATCTGCGTAGCTCAATTCCCTAAGCATAGTCTCAAAGCCCGAAAGGCACAAAGACGTCTCGGAATCATAAAGTTGATACAGGAGGAACCCTGTGAGAGATTATGCATCCGGTAAAGAAGAATCGCGGACTCAAAACAGGGAACCAACTGGATGAAGGAAACAGGGAAAAGGACATTAGCAGTTTGCTTCTCACCCAACCACGCCCGGCATCTTTTCTGCCGCGGACGCATCCACGCTCTTGATGTGCGCAAGCGCCTTCTCGCTGGTCACGAACGCCGCATACAGCGTGTTTGCGGGCGCTCTGACGTCATCCACGTAGACCGCCTCGCCGGACGCTTGCAGGTCGACCCCCTGTTTCGAACGCGGCTCGGACACCGGGAAGTGGTCCCCGGGGAACGAAAAGGTCTGGCGCCCGCGGCTGGGCGGAACCGGGGCTGGGGTCGGAACATCTGCAGAAAAACGTCGCACGATTCTTTTCCGGATTTCTGGGCTCACTTCGAGATTTTTGAATTGAATGTCGTAGGCTCAAGTTAGATTTGAGCAGCAAGCCGGTCTGGCGCCTGCGGCTCGGAGGAACTGGCGCTGCGATTGGGACATCTGTGAACCCCGGGGAGTTGCACATTGTAAGTTTGGACGTGCAACAAGACCTCAGGCCGCAGACCCCAAGTGCGGCCTGAGGTGCTGCACGTTAAGTACGAAAAGTCATCTGCGTTGAAGCGAGCGTGTTAGCTCTAGGCTGTTCTTCCTAGGGTTGCTTCATGAAGTCGTGCAAGGCTATTCGATAGCGGGAGAACGGTTCGAGCGTCAAGAACGCCGCACGAGGACAAGCGACGCACGAGAGGGAACGTTTCCGGATGTCGAAAATCTGAGACGTGAGCAAAGAACGAACAGTACTATGATGGCAAGAAACCGGATCCGAAGGCGCCCTCACCTTCACTGCCCATGTACGGAGCAAAGAACTGATACAGAAACGCCGACGCCACCTCGAACTGATACGTATCCGCGTCGCCCGAGCTCAACTCGTTCCTCAAGACCTCCAAACCCTCCAGCAACAGCCGTGCTGTCAACTCTTTTCCTCGGAAAATCGCCTCCAACTTTTTAGCTCGGATAGGCTTCCTGTCGCCCAGGGCCCCAAACACGAGCACCACATCTTTCACCACGTTTGGGGGGGTCGAACCGCCCCCTTTACCAACCCCGTTGGCATGGTGGCCTCCGTTCGCCTGTCCCGGGGGGATGTTCCCCACCCCGTTCTCCACCCCCCCGTTTGTCGCCGCACCTCCCGGGGGGTCCGGTTCGCTGCCATTCATTGGCCCCTGGTTCGAAACCACCTCCGCCCGGAATGCCGCGTTTATGTACGCGATCGCATTTCCATTCCGTCGCGGCGAGGCTCGGAACGTCCTGAAGACCGTCTCTGACGGGGCCTTCACCGCGGGGACTGAAACGCTCACGATCACTTCGTCGCTTCCGAGGCCCTGTTCTAGGAACTGTTCAACCGTTGCCTCCCGGTTACCCTTTTCCGAGCCGATGGTCAGGCTCGCGCCGGCTGCCCAGAGGATCGGGGCGAGGTCGGATTGGAAGCCCCGAGTCTGGGCCAATATAAGGTTACCTGCGGAAGACGCAAGGGACTCTGAAGAACATGATACTGCGAATTCGGCGCTTCCTACCGGAACAGGAGAGCCTCAGCAAAACCAGCTCAAACAAGAGCAACTCCGCTTTAATCACTTCCAAGCTAGACGTGACCTGCTGGGTGCTTTCGAGCATTCTTTCCCTCGAAAATACGTCCATCGTCATTCACTTTATTCATCAACCCCAGACGAAGACGTTTTTCAGCAGGTCTGCCTAAGTCCTCGCCAGAACAAGCCCAACGACTCTCAGGGCGTCTCCGAACTCGGAAGCTTCATAACAATCCAGCTCCTCTCACCTGCCACACTTGCCATGTGGCGCACTTGCGGCGTCGCCACCTGGCGCATGTGGGCTGCCAGCTCCACGAAAGGCGACGCAGGCCGGCCTCCACCAAGCTTCCCGCCAGGTGGGGGTGCATCGCATGCGGCGATGACGTCAGCAATCGTCACCGCGCCACCGAAACAGAGCCCTTCCTCTCTATGATGGATCTCCTGGAGCTTTGCGACGCCCTTGATGTCGATGTAAACCTGGGAAAATGGAAAGGTTTGTAAGATGAAAGGACTTTTGTAATCCCTGTTTGGAGCACTGTCCGGAGATTGTTTTGCGGATCCAGTTGTAATATTCCACCCCCGGATTGCAACGATCCGATCTAGAGTATCTTCTTTGTCGCAGGTTGCAACTCAAAAACCGGAACACCTGATCCACTTTCACAAAGGGTCGAACACACGCTTGACTTGGCCAGACTCAAACAATGACTTGGGCGCTTGCACGAACCAAACCAAGTTCATGCAGCCTGCTCTACTAAACCTGGCCGCACACTTCTTTGGAAGGTCCCAATCCGGAGAGCATCCGAAACACATAGCAGTCGGTTCAGCTTGTCAGCGCCCCTGTTCCTGTCACGGACCTTTACGACAATCACCTGCCCACAATTGACTACCAGTCAGCTAATATATTGCAGCCAGCAGACTCAGAAGCCCTTACCTCAGGTCGCTCATCCTTGTAATATCCTCGGGACGTGTTCCCAACCACGAGCTTGATCTCCTTCCCCTTGTTCTCCGCCATGAGCTTATATAGATCCTCTAAGCTTCCCGCCGAGCACCACAGGCTGGCTTCCCCCTTGCCATTGAAAAGCCCCTCCTCTTGTCTCAAGAATTCCGGAAACGGGGGGTCGTTCTTGGGGTCGTATGGGGGGAGCTCGGGGGGGGTGGAAAGGTCCTTCCGGAAAGTGCACAGACCAAGGTCCTCAACATCGACGTCGCCGGCAAAGCTTTTGCAGGCGTCGAGGATGGGGCGGTAGCCAGTGCATCTGGAGAAAGAAGAAACTTCGCGCAGTCTGTGGAAACATTCCTTATTCCATACTGCATCATTTCGACAATATTGATAAGCTCGGGAAGGAGTCACACGCAGACCACCTGTCAGGTCTGAAAGATAAGAAACCAAAGCCAGAGGCGTCACGTACAGAACGACCTTAAGATTCAATTAGTAAGAAGGCCACCTGTCTAGTCCAACAACATACTGCCAAAGTCAGAGAAAGCCGTCTCAACTTCTCACCTGCACAGGTTTCCCTGGAGTGCCCCTTCCACTTCTCCTTGGCTCAACTTGCCTCCCTCCTCCCCATTACACCGCTGCTTCTCCTTCACTTTCCCATACACCGACATAACCATCCCAGGGGTACAGAATCCGCACTGAGAGCCATGGAACCCCGCAACGCGCTTCTGAACGGGGTGGAAGCCGTCTTTCTGAGAACCCAGCCCCTCGGTTGTTGTCACTGCACGATGGTGCAGGGATCCGAGGGGGAGGAGGCAAGAGTTGGCGGTGACTTCTTTGATGCTGTTTGAGGCGGAATCGAAGCGGGAGACCAGAACGGTGCAGGCACCACAACCACCTGGAGCATCAAAGAAGGAGAGGGGAGTGAGAAGCGAAGCAACGTCGGTCGCTACGCGGTGCGATTCCTATCCTCGTTTCTCACTTGTATCTCTGTTTATCAACTCCTCCCCTCGAGGTCTATGAATGATCACCGCCCTTCCGCAACCTCATGCACACTCTTCTAGTCGTCCTTCCTCCACCATCTGCAGTGTAAATCTCTCGCATGGCCCCCTCTTCCACTTACACAGAAGTAAAGACCATTCATTCCATCACATCTTTGTCATCGCCGGGGTTTCTTCCCATGTAGCCAAGTAATGACCAGCAACAAAGTCTGCAAGAACCCAAGAATGATCGTGCTCCGATTTGTACAAAGCATCCATGTAGTGACATGTTTGCCTCTTTGAAAGGGTCTACAATAGACCAATCGATTAAAGAGCAGTCTTTGAAGTAAACGGAGAATAAGCTGATGAAGTTGATGCCACCTTTTCAGCTGGAAAACTCGTATTCTTTGTTGGTTGATTACATGTGAGTTTGAATTTCTGAAACAGGCGCGCTTTGCAAGATCTTACGTTTCAGGTTCTCTAGTACTGGGTGATGAAACCACTTGAAGCCTTTTCGTATTGCAGAAAGCAGGCCGGGAAACTCTAAGCAACCTACTTGGAGTCAAGGCCAATCACTTTTTTTCTTGACAAGCAGTGCGCAGGGAAAACGTTGCTTGCCTCATGGGGCAAAAATGCTGCATAAGTAGATACCAACGCTCATGTATTCAAGCCAGAAACTCTCCTAGAACATAGATTGTTGTGCAATGGAAAGCACATCATTGACACACAATCCTGATAGACTAGATTGACCAGATAAGGGGGTTGTGTTATTGTGCAACCTAACATTCTTTCTTACATAAACTCATTACTCAATTCCAGCCATCAGGCCGTACCTTCCCCACACCCCAGCTTTGTCCCCTTGTACTTTGACTGCAATCGAAGATACTCGATGAGGGTCCCAGAAGGGTCCACGTTTCCCAGCTCCACGCGCTCCCCATTCAAAGCGAAGACGAGGTTTGCAGGTCCCATTGTGGCTGACATACTATCCAACCAATGTGCGAGTAAAAGGTCAGCTATTTCAATAAGAGGCAGACCTTATTCAACAGGATTCCAGCATTGCTCTCCTCCTCAACTGGATAGAGCCGCCTAGGAGCCTCCTACTGGCAGCTGCAGAGCTCCCCTCCGAGTTTCGAAGTTTCTCTTCTTGCTGCTGAGCACTGCTTTTTAACAGGTTGCTGGTGCCACCACCACTCACTGCACAGTCTGCCACAGTACGTCCACTGCCAGCGTTCACAAGACGACACCGCAATGATGACGTCACTAGCTACCCATAGCCTATGATCATGTGGCTTGATGGCAAAGCTTTCAATGCAAACTAGCATGAAGAGGCTTCGATTGCAGGTGCTTCAGGATTTTGTAAGCAGCAAGACTGGTTCTTTACAGGGGACATAAAAGCTAGTTAAGTTAACTTAAATGAGCGGGCTCTCTTGCCAAAGGTATCAGCAGTCTGCTCATGCACCCCCAAACGGCCCAAGTTACGAAAGGGTACGAAACCAGGGGTGTTTAGAAACAAGCTGCTTTATCCGGGCAAGTCCCTTTTCAACCTTGGAGCCAATCACAGGAGGCCGTGTGGACCTAAAAAGCAACTTATTGGTTTGCGGTAAACCAGAGCGCTGCTTGCTGCAGGTTTCCGCCTAACCCTCCACCTTCAGAATTCTGAATCAAGGTTCAAGGTGCTTCACGTACAATATTGAGCTGCATTTTGGAAGGGCATTTTGAACGCAAACATGGCCGCTACCTGCTCTCGCCTCGCCGCAAGGGGCCAGCTCTGCTCCTTTACCTCCCCCCAGAAGCCCCTCCATCTGCAGGACAATGCAGCCTTGCCCGCGTCTCTTCGCTCATCCTCCTTCAACGGTACGCAATTGACGCAGGCTGTTCTGACACGGGGGGTTTCCAAAGCTCAACCAGGAGTTGTTGCTCCACGGGCTGTAGCGGCGGTCAGTGAGAAGCGAAAGGATGCTTTTGGCGAGGAGAAGAAGCTCGCAGAGGCCCCGAGCTCTCTGCTCAAGAAGGGGCCTGACGGGTGGACCTCCCCCATGTGCGAGAAGTTTGAGAAAGTCATCCGTCAGGTTCAGGACGAGGTTTGTGCGGCCATTGAGGAACTAGATGGCAAGAAGTTCAGGGAGGACTCGTGGGAGAGGGAGGGCGGCGGTGGCGGCATTAGCCGAGTCCTCCAGGATGGGAATGTGTTTGAGAAGGCGGGGGTCAACGTGTCGGTTGTCTATGGGACAATGCCACCGGAGGCTTACAGGGCAGCAACTGGTTCAACGGAGAAGAATGGAGCAGCTCCGGGTGGGGCCGGCCGCATCCCATTCTTTGCAGCGGGCGTCAGCTCAGTGAGTGTCTCCTCTAGGGATTGGCTCATTGGAAACTTGGATGCATTCTGATGTCTCTGTGGAAGAAAGCTCTTGCACGAAAAGGTTCCACTGTGTGTTGAATAACAATGCATGGTTGCTGATAGAATTGAGAAGAGAATGCACCGTCCGAAGGAACTCAGAAGCCATCTGTTTGTTTGGGAAAGTGGTCAATCCTTTTCTTTTGCCGTAATCCTAGAAGTCCCTGAGTCAGAACCGTTACAACGTATTGCCAACAGACTTTCTTTGAATCAAGATGTTGCGAACTGTCGGTTTTTCAACAAAGAAAGGGTCGCTGTGCTGCCAAGAAAGTGGAGTCTTCGCTTCTAGGTTCAAGACAGTCTGGTGCCCAATCGAAATAGCAAACGCCTAAGAATTGCAAGATTATTCACCTGCTTGGAAGTCTGGTTTTGCCAAACCCTAATTCAATGCATCATTGGTCCATTTGCAATCAGTGCCATAAAGCACCCCACATTTGTCCTTCATTTGTCGTCACTAGCTGGTGTGCAATCTTGATCCGCATGGTTGTATCAGAAGCTGAAAATGAATGTGTGCAATTGACGAATACAAATTCTCTCCATACCAGTAAAACGGTCCGATTGTAAATAACACCATTCACTAATGCTAGCGTCTCAATTGTGCAGGTTGTTCACCCAAAGAACCCCATGGCGCCGACCTGCCACTTTAACTATCGCTACTTTGAAACCAATGTTCCACAAGGTGAGGCCCCAAATCTCTAAGGTGTCTCTCCGGATAAGAACAGCTATGCAGCTGCACTCTTCTTGTTCCTTGTTGCACTTGAAAATGCTGTGCATGTAATGCAGAATTGAACAGATTGCAACACTATGTATCGGCTTCTCAGCTGTTTGAAGCTGTTACTCTCTGGAGCAGCGTAACCATTCTTTGGAGCAGGGTATCCATACAGGGCACATGCTGCTTGTCACAGAAGAGTGGTGGTGCTTTGAGACTTCAGCTCCCCCTTCTCCTCCGCTCGGAATTCCTGTCACAACGCATGAGAAAGTTAGATGCCATATTGCGACATGTAGAAAACTTTCTTAGCAAAGAAAGCTTTTGGTGAAAGTAAGCATGACCGTCCCACCACTCTCTAACACCTCCAGAATTCAGAATCGGAAGACAACACCTATTTTGGTTATTTTCCACCCCAGATGTCGAGGGGGCTCCTAGGGCATGGTGGTTTGGTGGCGGCACCGACCTGACGCCCTCGTACCTATTTGACGAGGACGTCAAGCACTTCCACCAGGTGTGCCCTTGTAGACCCGTGTCGTTTTCGTCATGGTTGCAGCACCATTTTGGTTATGGTCACTTTCACATGCAGGGTTCCAACTGTGGAAATTTGCAAGGGGCATGGGTTCCTAATCAGGTGACTACAACCTGAACAAATGTAGATGATTTTGGGACGACTATGGGTCCTCTTCCTGGTTGCGATACATTGCATAGATTTCAAGTCTTCACCTGTGCTTACATTGCATAGATCTCGTGTCTTCACCTGAAGACTATCCGGCAGGTCGCTGATGCCAACAATTCTGTAGACAGAAGGATCACGTATTCAGGTTTCTTATCACTCTCGCTCACTGTTCTTCAAACGTTTTGGGAGCAGAGGAGTAGAAGGGGGTAGACGACCGGTTCGCTGATCTATCAGCCAGCGTAGATATCACGCCTGCTCCGGCGTGCAGCTCAAACTATCTTTCGTTTTGGTGGTCGGCTTGAAGCCATCAACAGTATTGGGAATTCTCTTTTTCTTGCAATCGGGCCAGGCGACTGCATTTGCCTGAACGTTGAGGCAATTGGATTTCCTATGAATGAGCTGTTGGTTGTTGAATAGTATGCCCGAAAGTTATAAATTTCATCAGTCATTTTATTGAAATTTTCAAAATGCAGACCCTCAAGGACACGTGCGACCAGCACGACGAGTCCTTCTACCCGCGCTTCAAGTCGTGGTGTGACGACTACTTCATGATCAAGGTGAGCACTCAAAGCTGGGCTGGGTATGCATTCTATTTCGCGCTGGAAATTAGGATTGTCGTGAGGCGGCTCCATAGGCTGGTTCAACTTCGGTCCAACCTGGAAGTGGACAGGACAAGGAGTCGAAGCACGTGTCTGCTTTTTCAAGCTTCAAAAGTACTTCAACGCGGCATGAAGTACGTCAATGTGTTCGAAGTATTCTGGGTTAACTAAAGGCAGATAGTCCTTGGCCGGAAACCAGACAGACTCTGGCTATTTCATCATCATGACCCTCAGGATACCAGCGGGGCAACAGGGCAGCCTTGTCTCCACAAGACGTGTCCAGTTACAAAATTACTGGCCCCGCGCAATCATTATGTCCCAACCCAAGCCCCAAAGGAAAGTTTGCGCTCTGTTCTGGCCATCTCGAGTGACCCTATTCATCACCTGCCTTCTCGAACACCCCTTCTTAAGTTCGTCAGTAGTCTGCCTTTTTCGCCAACAATATTCAACCCCCTCCTTGCTTCTTAGGCCTTCAGACCGTTCCCGTCTGTCCTGGACCTACCTTTTCTCCCATGCAACATTGAGGGGTTCCACTTAACCCGCCTTCTCGTCAGCTTAATCGGCCTCTTTTTCGTGCAGCACCGAGGGGAGCGCCGTGGCCTCGGGGGCATCTTTTTTGATGACATGAACGATCGGGACGCCGAGGAGATTCTGGCTTTCTCGACTGGTGGGTTTGGGGACTCTGTCCGACGACTTCTCCTACTTAGCCAATATGTCAGTTCGTATTCTCAGAAATCCAGCGGTTATTGTGAGGGGAAAGCGCTCAGAGTTGGAGCTGTGTTTTAAGAGTTGTGGGCTTGCTGGGCGACCAATTTTCATACGTCAGACCAGGAGGCTCACCACTGCACCCACGCGTTCAGAGAGTTTGCAACACGACATGCTCAGAGGCTTGCCACATGGTGTCAGGCGGATCAAAGAGTAGCAGCTGGACGCTTAATGGTGGCTTCCAGTGCTCTCCCAAAGCGTACTTGTGTTACTCCAATCTAAGCAGTACAGTAACCAGAACGGGAACGGCTGCCTGTTGGTGCTCTTGACAAAGTAGCAAGACAGAGTAGTTAGTCCGCAGTCTGGTGTGTCCAAGTGTTCGAGTTGCAAAGTATCCGTGGCCCCTCGTGCGGTGTAGGGGCACGCCAGTTACTAATTTGTCGTCTCTTTGTGCTCTTCGACAAGCCAACTCTCATTCTGTTACTACTTGTGTCTAGAATATGGGGCACAGAGAAGGTGGCTGGTCGGGTCCTTCTGCCTAGCAACGGAAAGGATAGAGACAGGGTGTGTCCAAAAGCTGCGCCACGAGGCACGGCAACGGAAGCACTCAACCCGCCATCTTTTCTGAGCAGTTTATTTCCCTTATAATCCAATAGGCAGTCCAGTTCTGGGGTTTCTTCTAGAATCACTGAGTCGCAAACCATCCATACCTCATTATGCAGCGTGTGGGCACGCCGTCGTCCCCGCGTATATCCCGCTCGTCGCCAAGCGGAAGCACTCAACCCGCCACCTTTTTTGAGCATTTCATCTTTTTCACAATCAACTCAGCAGTCCAGGGCGGGGGTTGTTCCAGCTTACTGATCACCCGAACCTCCTTGTGCAGCGTGTGGAAAGGCCGTCGTCCCTGCGTACATCCCGCTCGTCGCCAAGCGGAAGGACGAGCCGTTCACCGAAGAGCAGAAGGCGTGGCAGCAACTGCGGAGGGGCCGATACGTCGAGTTCAACCTGGTGAGCCCTGAGAAGTCAAGAACCCGTTTGAAGTTGAGCATCCTCTTTAAAACCAAAAGTCCCGTTAGAAGTCGAGTATTCCGTTTTCAGGCCGTCGGAGAGCTGCTGCGGACACGAGTGGTCGAGAAACTTGACGTTACTGGGGTTTGTTTGCCTGACAGACTGTGTTCAAGGGCGGTCTCCTCGAGTTTCTTCAGACCCGCCTAGGAAAGGGATAGTTTACTGTTGTACTTAATGGTCAGCGCCAGGCTTACTACGTGTGGTAGTCGTGGCAACGCTTGATTTGTGCGAACCCTCAGCCTGTAACTTCAGGCCGAGGTTCACGACCTAAGATGGGCAGCGGAATTGGGGTCGTCCCCTTAGTGAAGCCGCAATTTTGTGACTCGCGATCAAGGACGTACAAAGGGAGAGTGACGGGGGTTCCAAACTCAGTCACAGGCAGATTGCATACGTTTAGGGTGCTCAAGCTTGCGGCGCAGCCGGTCGTATCCAGTAGACGGATCACAGTTTGCAAAAACCTAGACCTGGGGGCCCTCAGATTCGTCAGTCCGAGTTTCAAAACCTGGTGTTTCGGTGAACAATAGCAAACCCGGCGGTTCCAGAACGTTTGAAGCGTCCAGTTCTTAATGTCAGAATAAGGACGACGCGCTTCTGTCTCGATCATTCCCACTTAATTCGTTCTTTTGCCGATGGCTTGATCTCACCAATTGATTGCAGGTATACGACCGCGGCACCACCTTTGGGTTGAAGACCGGGGGCCGGATAGAGAGCATCCTGATGTCGCTCCCGCTCACCGCCCGCTGGGAGTACGACCACGTGAGCAACCCCCCCCTTTTACCCGTTCTTACGTGCTCGTCTTGTGATTGCGTGCACGCAAAGTACTGCGAGGGACTTGCGAGAAGCTTCAAAGCTGTTGGCAATCGCGAGCTTCACTTTTAACTGGATCAGATTCGCCAATTTAACCCTCAATGCTTTTCCTCTCCCCCGATGTACAAGGATTACGAATCCGCTTCCTTGCTGTTCCTTGTCTGATTTTCCGTCGCAGAATACCGACGTCTCTTGTTGGGAATCTTTCCAATTAGAACAGAGTGGTGGCCGTAATCTTAGTAGAGCATTTTTGAGGATGGAGGATATCAGGCTTGAACGAAGGACAGACTGCGATGCGCAGAGGAGAAAGATCTCATGTAGGTTTCGCCGGTGGATGAGCAGAGAAGAAGCAGAATCCGCAGAGTTCTGCATGACCGCCAAAACATTTCGCTGACCACAACGGCAGTCGCAAACTGTTGCTAAGCGACGGTCACGCTCTGGCAGTGGAGGAAAGGCCTCGTAGTGCGCATTGGGCGATGAGACTGTCGTGTTACCATGACATTTTTTCACACGTGACAGCTGTGCTGAACTTTCAAGATTGTTATTTGCAGCAACCGGAGGAGGGGTCCGAGGAGTGGAAGCTCCTAGACGCCTGCAAGAACCCTAAGGACTGGGTATAAGCTCACGAATCTGGTTTTGTATGCCACGTGTCGAAGGCGGGCTGGGAGTTGGACAGACGCTGGCGTGCAATGCATTGAATAAGTCACGGCTTGGGAGCCTTACCTCTGTCCTCGTTTACGTTTCATCCTGTCGTTGCTGCTCATGGCTTACGCGGAGCATCCAAGCGGCCCGTAATTGATGTAGCCGAAAAGGACGCTCTTAGTTGAGAATGTTAAGAACATCAGTATATGTAAACGCCATTGTTTTCCAAGAGTCTATTTCTTGAAGCTTTTTATGCCTTTGTCGACTGCTGAACTGCCTGACTTGAGAATATGGGAGCTCGAGTGCATTATCTGGCCGGTATATTGTCTATGTACGACTTTCCTTGCGATCAATCAGAGGTCGAGCTCGTCTGATTAGACCTTCAATGTCTGTTGACTCCAACGTTCAGCCAGTGCAGGGTCCTGGCAGGCCGCCCCGTCTTGAATTGAACTAAAGTCGCACTGTCATGACGTTCTCATGCAGATTCGTACTGCCAGAAATGGAATCATGCATCGAATCGCCCGTACACTGCAACTGAATTTCGACAGCGTGGCACTGCCACCCCAATGCCAGAGCCATGCCGGCAAGTTTCCACTAGCGGCCGTCGGCGTGGCCGGCGGGCAATGCAACCGTCCTGACTTGACAAAAGAAAAACGTATATGTGACAGGTTTTCAAGCATGCGCCGAGTGAGGCGCTGTACTTTGCCATTTTGAAGCGAAGAGATTTTTTGCGTACACATGGCGGCATGAGGTGCAATGATAGCGGCAGTGGTTCCCGCACTTGGGCCGCATGCAGCCAGTGTAAGCCGCCGCCGATATACAATGATTCTACTTTTAGTATTGGATTGTCGCCGCGCTCTATTTCGAGAGCAGCGGATTGGAGCTCCTCGACGCGCTCATTCTCATACCGTACGACATAATATGATAAATGAAAGTTCGGTGTGTACTTGATTCACTAGCTGGCACTTGACGTGGCTCAGCTGCACGTCATTGCCGGATTGCATGAGGCTACCTTGAGCCGCGCCATGATCGAGACGAATTTCGCCGGGTCGTTCAATTATGCAAGCTTCCTCCACCGGCCTGAGAGCACGTGTCAGGCGGGCCATATGCCAGCACGATATTCGCGCGAAGCAGCTTATACCTTAAGCTTAGACGTGCACCGCACTGACTAACTTGATTGCAATCATGACCGCCTACAAATGTTTGTTTCACAGCATGCGAAATGGAAACCGAAGCGAAAGCCACATTGACCGCAGTCGCAGAACCAATACGCATGATCTGACCATATGTCGTCCCCAGAACAGATTCTTCACCTTGGCAGAGTTTGAGCTCCGATGCATTCGGCTTCAATTACTTGCCGTTCTAAGGAATTGATCGCAAAATTTGATGCCTTGCAGATCTTCACTGCGTCCTTGATCTGCCTTTCTACGCTACTCTGCCAATCCGAACCGTCCACATACCTCTACGTACCGACGATCCTTTGGAGGCAGCGTGAAACAGTCTTTTCTCTCTTTTCCGTGTCGGTATACTCTATCTACGCCCTCAATCGTACGCTTTCTTGGCCGCCGGCCGCTCCTTCACTCTCTGGTACCATTCGTACGTCCTCGGGTAGTTCTCCTGGTTAAGCACCTTAACCCGGGGGTTCTCTGCCAGAATGTACACAGCGAAAAGTAAGCTGATGTCCACGGCTGTGAAGTCGCCCCCCACCACGCCCCCCGGGCTCTCCTCGAGGCCCTGCTCGAGAGCCCGCAGCGCGTCTATGGTCGCGTTCTGGTACCTGCAAAGCAAAGAAGAAGTTGTGCTAACTTCACACAAGCATAATCAGTTATCGACGAGTACGGTTCATCTCGTCAATCAAACGTCACGAGATGCAACAGCCCGGGTTCCGAGATTGTGTACAGAACGCAGGTCAAGGACTTTGATAAAAGCTGGATTAGTTCCAAGACATTGCGACGACCGAGGTTTGGGACGCGGCTTAAGCGAATGCATTGACGTTCCTTCTACCGAACGGGATGGAAGATTAATCGATTGAAGGATCGCCCGGTATGCGTTTTCCTGATGAACCCTCGTCTGGGCTCACTCTGGGCGTATGATCTGCTCATCCTCCGCAGATATTTCAGTGCAATCTCAGTCCCGCAAGGAAACAGCAATCGTCAGAACGTTTTCCATCCATATTTGGGATCTCCAGAATGTGACAATCATTCAAGCACTTCAGATCGGTGCTGTCTCTAGGAACCTTTAATCAGATCGTGGTGTCAGCACAGGACAAAATGAAACTCTACGTGCAATACAGGTCGTGAGACGAAGAGGCAAAGACCAAGATGAAACACCAGGACTTTTCACCAGGATTATTCTCTCAAAATGAATAGCTGATTGTTTGCGCGCGCACATTTCCGCGGCTTTGGCGTCGCGCTCCTCTTCCGGCAGCAGCGCGACGTGCCGCAGCCAGCCCCCGAGCGGAACGGACAGCGACGTCTCGCTCCACGTCAGCCACTTCAGGAAGTCGGCACGTGGCACCCTCTGATTGACGGGCGGCGCCAGCTTGTGCTCGCGGTCGTACTGCTCCAGGAGGTACTCCATGATGGCGACTGCGCGCGCGAAGAGACGGGAGTCTTCGTGAGTTACTATTATTCAAATCCAACTTGATGTCGCGTTTTCGGGGGGGGAGAAAAAAGCGTTCGGTTGTTGTTGCATGCGGTGTCCTTCCGTGTGCCGCACGCGACTACCTGAGCATCGTACTTTCATCTGTTTATCGGCGGAATCGTAAGCCCGTTCATTCAGGGAACTTGGCGATCTGAATTGCCGGTTTACATTCTCTGAAGCAACTCGGATTAGAATGCTCCTGCATACTTCGCTCATTTGGTAAACGATCAGATTGTTGGGCCTCTGAATGAGTCGGAAAACCGCTCGTTATGCCACGTTTCTCGCATTAAATCTCCGCAACGGTCCTGACAACCGTCAGTGTCATTGAAAAAGGTCTTAGCCCCCTCCTAGCTGCATAAACGACCGTCTGTGAACCCAGAGCGGTTTGCAAGGATTCAGACTCTTCCAGATGACCAGCCGTTCAGCGCCCGCTGGAGCTGAAGCAACGCTTGATCACGGCGACATATAACCTCGAGGAACACTCACTTGATTCCTCCATCACGATGTCGCCGTCTTTGATCGTCGGGAGCCGTCCCTCGGGGTTGATCCGCGAGAACTCGGGGTCGTTTCTGAGGACGCCCCGGTGCTCCTCGGGGTTTGGCACCCGCTTCACCTGCAAAGTGATGATAAGATACGGTGAAATAGCTACGCTCAGTCGTCTGCCACGTGGAGACAGAACATTTCGCAGTGCGCTGAAGCGGGAAAGGGGCCTTCCTGCTGTGTTACTTCTTGCGTTTTTGAAGCATCCTGAACAGTCTCTATCATGAACAGTTGCACGTGTGCTGCGAACTTGTGAACACGTTGAAGCCTTTGATGCTTCTTTTGCTAAGGAACGCCCAATACACGTTTGCCAGATCCGTGCCTAAACCCGCTCAAATCAGGCAAGGTTTCAGTTTCCGTTTCTCAGAGCCCATTTAAGCTTGAGAAGCATGCACGAGGCCGGTCCGCCTCGCAGAGTTGCCGAGCTCACAACGGTGCATACAAAAGCATACTCAATCAATGCATCCGATACCAAACAGGATACTCAAATTTCTCTGCTCGAGTTCGCATCTGGAAGATACTTTTGATTGACTATATTGCCATCAAACTGAACGCAAAGTAGCTCGCTTCTGAGAGGTTCGGAACAGTTTTCTGAGCAAAAGCGTTACTGAAAGCAGAGCTGTCTCTGCCTTCTTTATTACCCCCCAAGAAGGGAGTGTCTTTGGAGAACAAAGTGAAGCTCCTATTCACGGTGGAAAGAAGCTTACTTTGTACGGCAGCCCCAGCTCCTCTAGCAGGAAGACGACGCGCACCGACCGCGTCGGCGGGCAGTGGTACACCAGGATGTCCGGGCCGTCCGCCATGCGTCCGCAGCTCTGCGCAGATGACTGCACGCGTCCGCAGCTGTGCGGCGCAGATGTCCACACGTGTCCGCAAGTGTGCGCAGATCTTTGCAGGCGTCCGCAGCTGTGCGCAGATGCCTACACGTATTCGCAGCTCTCTTCGAAGATGCCAAGAGAACAAGTTGCGTACTGGGAAGATTTTGCTGGCTACTTGTTGCGAGGTGCCCAATGATGCGGCACACCCTAACATGACTGGCGGTAGGACCCACATCTGCAAGCAAGATTTCGCGTGGCGTCTTTGTTGAGCTGCTACGACGGGGGTGTGAATGACTCTCCCAGAAGTACCTCAAAGAAAGCGCACGCAAGGCCTCGGTCGGAACGAAGCAGCTCGGGTGACTCGATTCGAGATTGCTCTCAAGGTGATCGATTAGCTTGCTGAGCCTCTGAATACTTAGGATGGTCCCAACCTTGGCGCACTCGCAATCGAAGCAGTCCTCGATGACTCGCTTCGACGATTGGGCTGCCGCACAAGTCGCGTTCGGTCGCGCGGGTCTCAAGCCGCGCAAGCAGAGACGATGGGTGCATGCAACATGCGCCTGATGAGGTCGACCAGGCTCAGGATTCCTTCGCGTCCGCTTGGGGCAGAAACCGTTCGTTCGGCGCTTTGGTTGATCGCACTCACCTTAGCAAGCTTTCAGTTGCTGAGTTCCAAATTCTCAGCTTGTGACAAGCAGTGGGCCAGATTTGCATCAAGTATCTGGGCGGGAAGAAAGTTCTTGTGGCGATCGAAAGGGACTTAATCGGAGAAGATTGTACGATGTCATGTGTTTATTCTGGGGCACTCCTACCATTTAGCAGCGGGCACCAGTGCAGATCAGCGTGCAGGTCAACAATGGCCCTTCAGCGGGAAAGTGCATCTGGTCAGGAACACTACCAGCTTGCAAGCGTCTCTCGAGGGGTTAGGGAAGGGAGTAGAGAAAAGGGACATATCTTAACATCGATCTTTCGAAGCGCGTATGGCAGGTGGAGCTTGCAGAATGGAAGGGGCGAAGAAAGACCTGTCAATCGACGATGACTATCAGTCGTGCGTCTTCTTGATAACCAATGCAGGCTTTGCCAAGCGGAGCAAGCAGGAGTTTCGGACCCTTTCGCAGGAGCTCGAGTCGTACGGCCCCGGACTGTCCGGATGGTTCGAAGTCTACGCAGCCAATCCCGGAAGTGGGCGCCCGTCCCCCATTTTTTTGCGGGTGGTAAACGCATTTCTTGAGAGGTGGTCGCCCGAAAATACACTGAAGGAGTCGGAGGGCTTCAGCTACCACGCGGCGACCACCAGCTTTCACATAAGCCGCGAGGTTTGGGAGGGTTTGGACGCAGGGTTCAGGCGCGACTTTGACGCGGCGCGGGAAAGATTGGGGTGAGCACATTTGAGAGCTCCGCGCTAGAGAAGTCCGTTTTAATTCGTGTGCTAATCCAGACAGTAAAGGCGGGGCTGAAATATATTGAATTCCTTGGAAAAGAAGCAGGGAGAACATCTTACGACGAGGAGTGCGTTCGCTTCGTTCTGGGAAGCCGTATTAGGAGTAAGAAACCGGAGCAATTTGCGAACGCCACAGGCCGCTTTCAATCGCGTTATCTTGACAGCAGAGTATCCTTTCTTCCTTCCAGACTCACTGCATTAGTCGGCCATGCCTCTTCTTCAAGGGCCAATTAACATATTGACTTCCCATCGGCGTGCAACTTTGCGGAAGTAGACTGCTCTCCTCGGCTCGCTCCTGAGTACTGACTTCAATATTCACAGCTTATCGTCGCCTAGTTCTGACGTTTCGACATAATCCCACCAGTATTTGGTTATCTCCTTCCGACTCCACTGCAAATCAGCAGCTGATTGTAACACCTTTTCCTTTTAGTTCAGTTCAAGCAAGGTAGAATCTGTTGTTCTGAAAGCGCCGTTTCCACGATGATCTCCTATTCTATCTTGACAAAGGAGGGCAAGAAAGCTTACCAAGACAGCGAGCGTTTGACACAGGAGTTTTTGGCCCTTAACCATGGTTGGTTATGAGCTGCTTGTGGGCTGGTTAGAGAGTAATCATGTGTCCGATAAGATGACTTGGGCGGTAACCAGCCCCGGAACAAGTTCAAAGCCAGGTTATCTTTCCATTAACCAGAGACTCAGTCCGGTAACCCGCCTGGTTAGCAGCCAAAACTCCATGTGTGAGGGTGATCACTCCTTTGCTCATCTCCACTCTGTTTCCGCGCGTGCAGGAAGCCACTGAACTCGTGTGTTTCGATGGCAAAGATCTTGACCCTGATGATGGTCGATATCGAGCGGAACAGAAAGGTTTGGCTGGTGAGATCCCAGGCGCGTTTATTCCGGCATTCTCGATCAGGAATGATCCGGGAAGGTCCGTTGCAAGACTCAAAACAGAACCTACCAACTTTGGCATCGGGCCATTTAAACACACAGAGAAAGTCCAAGAAGAGGGTAACAAGGATTGAAAATGCTCTTCCAGTGTCTCTTTGAAAGAAACTCACCAGGTATTGGAAGGGTTTGTGTTCGTAGATTAAAACCCTTCAGCGGAAAGCTCTCTGCTTCGATTCGACAACCGTTAGCTTGCTCTAGCTGACGACGAACTCGGTAAAAGGATTCATCAACTCTGCTTCTACCTCCCCCTCTGACGATGAAGCATCAAAAATTTCGCTATTTCCTGGCGCAATCCGGTTATGGCTCTCGCATCAATCCAGAAATCAAATCGTCAGCCGCCGGACGCGCCGATTTCGGACGCTCTGCGGCGGACGCCTTTCGGACGCATCCTGGAGAACGGGGCCTACGCGCCGCCGCCAGACTGGTCAACCATCTTGCAAGGGTTTGCGGGAGGCGGCCGCGGCGTAGTGCCGCAGGGGGCCGCTTCCAAAAAGGTGTGAACTCAAACCTATAATGCCTTGCCGCGAATGCTAAGTTTCGATTTAAGTTCTTGGCCACAGACTGGCGCGCTCTACTCGAAAGCTTTCAGGGAGGCGGCCGCGCGGCCGCGCTGCGTGATGCGGCCGCGCCGCGTGATGCGGCCAGGGAATGTCCGGTGCGTTAGCATTCTCAGGTTCCGGGTAGTGGCTCGCGCTTGTCTTTTGCTCTGGAAAGTCTGGAAATGCTCAAATGAGCAAGCGCCAGCCGGTCTGTAGTCTACAGGAAGATCGACGCAATTTGGTGCTGACAGTCGTTGGATCTGTTGATTCCGGTACTTCTTAGCCTCAAGATATCACTTACATTCGCAAAAGTGCAACCGCCGTGTCTTCGCCAAGCAAGTAGAGAAACTTGCCAGTGTCCCCGTCCGTTCGAACCTCGCAATCTCTTCAGAGGTTTCTCAACGACAACGACGTTCTCTGGACGTTGCAGATGCGTCTCAGTCACGATGATCTTTGATGCGTTTGCCGGATGCGACCGCGGCGGCGAGCGCGCCTCCAGAACGCGCGCACCCCCTCCCTTTCTCGCGCGCAGCATGCGCCGAACGCGGCGCCCCGAGCCCGGGCTCGGTCGTGGAGCCACAAACCAAGCCGCTGAAACCGATTCCGGTGTCTCGACGGAACCGGACAAAGTCTCTCAGGTCTTCCGCCTCAGCGGTGTGAGAAAGGCGAGTTGCATAAGCTTTAAAGCCGACTGCCGTTTGCGGGCTGATTTGGAGACTCGTTGACGGTCATCCAAGTGAGGAAACCGAGGATTTGCAATTGAATCGGAAGTCTTCTGAATTTCGCGTTTTGGGGAGTTTGTTTCAGATTCCAGGACTTACCATCCGTTCTTTCGGCCGTCCCTCGTGAGTTCAATCATACTTCTAGTGTGTGCACGTTTTGTAGAATGTCGAAGTATGAAGCACGCAGAGTTGCAAAATCTACCGACTCGAGGCTTTCTGAGGATGTCGCCAGCGCACCTGAGGAGCAAGATGTGGTTCGAGCTCCATAAAACACTGTAATATCTAGCACTGCATAAGAAAGGGAAAGTTATATCGCAGACATCCCATAGGCGCCGCCGAAATTCATGTTTTCGAGCGTGATAAGCAAGGAGCCTAGCGAAGTCATCAATCTGCAGTCCTGGTCCGCCCTTGTGACAATTTCAACTTGACAAAAAAACACTGGCGATGAGGATTGCATTGTCGGGGCTCAACAGCAGTGCTTGACTCGATGAGATTCTATTATCTCGATGGTTTCAAGAGCGTCAAAAGCGTCCTCGCATTTCACGTTTCCTGATATTCAGACAGACAATATACACTTGCAGGCGGGCCCAAAGCTCCCACAGGAGCCCCCGGCTAAAAGGCATACGAGGACTCGGAAGAGAGCCGATCCGATTGGCGATTCAAGCGCGGCCGCGGCCAAGGCGACGCGGCCGCGGCTCCCAAAGCCGCGACCAACAAAGTCGCGGCCGCCAGAGTCGTGCCAGAAACCGTGGCCGCGACCGCGGCCGAGACCCAGTCGCGTGCGCCGGATCAGGGCGACCCGGTATGGGAGGTGGCCGTGCAGCACGTCGCCGCCATGCTCAGGAACGGGGTCCGGGGTCTGTTGCTGGACGGCGCTGAAAGAGCCCGGGACGAGCGGTCGGGGGAAATAGAGGTCGAGAAGGAATGATGGACAAAGAAAAGCTTATCGATTCATGGATTTACTGCACAGACCTTGGGGTGGTGCTGAGAAAAGGAGTGTGGCGTTCAAATCAAAAGGCCCTACCTGCTCTGGTTACTGATTGAGAAGCAGAATCTTGAAACGTATCCCAAAGACGTCTTCTGTGCAGAAGGATGTAGCGCAGCATATAGGTGAAAGGGAACTGGGGATACACTTGCCGTACAAGCCGCGTAAGAATAGGGTTGAATGCGGACAATTGAGCCATGTGGGCAGCGTCACATGATGCTCGTACTTTTAATGGATCTGCGCTCACGTTGCTGTGAATCAAGACAACGCACGACGGATTCCAACATCTTCGTCATCGTCTAGTCTGCATCGAATTCATCTCGTCAGGAAAGTGCAAAACCGCACAACAAACTTAGCGAACATAAAGTGCATACCGTGAATATATCATGAAGGATCAACAACTTTGTTTTCAATCTGGAAGCGCGCGGGCAGCAAGCAAGATCGGCTGTAAAACGCTGTGTACCATGCGGTAGTGATTCCAGTTCAAGGTACTGCGAAGTCTGCTTGGAAAGCCCATCATTGGTGATTTTGTTATGGTATCTCGCTGGCAGATCTAGAAAAGGGTCTATGGTGACCAGAGCTTCGAATTTATGCAATTGATAGTCGCGCGCAAACCGTGTTACCGATGGAACATCATAGTTGCAGAGCCTTTCTTTCAAAAGGTGGTCGAAGCTCTTAAAAATCTGAATTTAACGCCTGATTTGGCAAACAGGCCAAATTTAACATTCCGAGTTCAGTTTGAAAGAGCGCGCTCAGTCGTAATATGAAGATTCAATCTTCTAACGGAGCCGCCTGAAAGCGATCCCCTGATCTGCCCATTCGGGGGCTTAGAAAGAAGAAAGAAAGCATCTGCCGACGTAGGATTAATATAAATGACGAACCAAATGCAGCTTATCGGATCAAAGCACTGGTATGCGTTAGCTCGGACTCGACTTACAGTAGTCGGCCAGGTTTGACCAACCGTACATCTCTTCCCGACACAGTACGGACGAAGCGAGCTGCTGACGAATGCTTGCATGCAAGTTGTTTGGGAAGGGGCGAATTGTCATGCAGAACCTTGCGCACTTCTCGTGCCTTCCACCGCATGCCCTTCAAGCAAGACATGAACCTGAAACTTGGATCAAAGCGCCAGATTTGAAGAGCCAACACTGGCCGGACGCACCCGCGGCCCTTTCAAGGGCAAATTCAGCCTAAGCTTCATTCGAGGGGGTGTTCTTTTGAACCCCATCAAGAAGAAAACGTTTCAGGGTCACTCATCCAGCGCCGATTCTGCCAGTTAGTTTTACCTTGGAGAGCAGAGAAAGGGCGTGACTATCTTCGAGAATCACTGCGCCCATTATTTAGGCTGTGGCTGATTGCAAAGTGGGCTTCGCCTGACACAGAAATACAGGGTTCGTGGCTACAAGGGCATTCATCGGCCCCTTTTGAAGGATTCTTTTAATCTGAAAGCAAACGCCCATTTCAACAGGATGGAACCAATGTCAAAGGACCTAGCAGAGGACGCCAGCTATCAAACCTGCGTCGCACTGGTGCTCAGCGCCGCTGTATCCAAGTCCTCCAACGAGTAGTTCAGGGGAGTGTCCGAGGAGCTCGATTCGTACGGCGCCGGACTGTCCTCATGGCTTGGGGTTTGCAGGAGAAACCCTGGCAGAGGGCTCGCCGTCGACGCCGCGGCTCTACTGCGGGTGGTCAACGCGTTTCTTGCGAAATGGTTGCCGGAAAAAGGGGTTAGCGGAGCCCTGCAGGGGTTGGAGTACGTCCGGGCAGGCACGCGCTTTGTATTGAGCAGGGAGGTTTGGGAGGGATTGGACGCGGGGTTTAGGCGCGACTTCGTCGAAGCGCAGCAGCCTTTTAAGTGAGCCCTTCATTACACGGCTTCTCTCTTGGTCCTCTAAAACAAGGTTACCTCCTCCTCGAGTTCTCCACTTTCCGAGTCTCGTCAAAGTCTCGCTGCTTCACGTAATCTCGCAGGTCTAGGGCTCTCCAAAAAGTTTCTCTTATTCAGCTTTACAGTTTCAAGCCACTGAATCCAACAGTTATGAGCAAGATAATGAATTTACGATCAGCGAAGGCGTTTGAACGGGCCCTTAAATGCAGTGCTGTAATGACGTACGGCTTACATTTTCACTGATACAAGGATCTCGGTTGGACAGTTTTGAGCAATATGACGCGCGCAATTCATCTGATGGATATCAGATGCTTTTAGAAGAGCACCTGAGCCCAAACGAGAGACGCGGAAGCTCTCTCAGTACTTCCAAAATGAGTTCGCTTCATGCCATCTCAGGAAAATCACCGGTTCAAGAGTGAGGGCCGCACAAAGATACAGCTCGTTGAAGCACTTGACAGCGCCGGTGCCCTTCATAGACTAAAATGTTCTGATGAGAGTTTTCCCTTCGCAGGAGGGGGCTTGACTCGTGCGTAAACTTGGCCAAAGTTCTGACTATCATGATGGTCAATCTGGAGCGGAAGAAGCGGATTTGGCTGGTGGGCGACCAGACTCTTTCCCTTATGGTTTGCTTGTGCTCATCTTTTCTTATTTTCTTCTTTTTCACACCATACTCAATCAGCTACAAGCATCGAAGTGACAGAAAGCCGAACCATCGGAGTATTTCCGAAGACGAGTGACGTCAATTGCAATTGTTAACAAGCAAAACGTCTCCGTGATACATTGCTTCTCGGATGTAACACACTCGACTTACAGTTGACTGAACATTCAATGAACCAGCCACATCCGCTCGGCTGTTCGGTTCTTGGTCTCATCGGTTAATTCAGGTGAAAAGCGTTACCAATTAAGCCTCTGGGTTTCCTTTAAGCTGGTTTCTCAGATTTGTTAAATCTGACCTTATCAATCACGTCATGATGACTGTTTTCGCCCCCCCAGAAGGAGAACTCGCTGCCGACGGACGCGCCGCTTTCGGACGCCCTACGGCAGACCCCGCTCGGACGCGTCCTGGAGAACGGCGGCTACGCGCCGCCCGCGGATTGGCCAACCCTCCTGCAAGGGTTTACGGGAGGCGGCCGCGGCGGCGCGGCGCGCGGCGCGGCTTCCAAAAAGGTCTGACCTGTTATGATTCCTAGTCGTCCTTCCGTGCCGAGGGCGCGGAACCTGTAAGTACGTGGATCGACCGTTTTGTTTTGCTTTTGGGCAGCTTACTTAGGACCACAGTTTCTTCAATTAGACCAGCTTGAAGTGTCTCGCTAGTCTACGTCGATCTTGGTCGGTGAGGCATGGTTCTGAATGCCCAATGACACAGGAGGCAAAAGACGATTTAAGTTCCCGAACGAGGAAAAATTCGTGCAGAATCCTCTCAATGAAGCTTCTACCTGGTGAGAATCTAGGAAGCTCAGGATAAATTTAAATGTGGGCTTTGCAGATTGCTGATCGACCGCACCAATAACGTTGCCATCCTCCATCATAAATGGAAAACCCTTCTTCCGCAAACAACTCTGTTGGGCGTTTGCTTGGCAGAGGGGGCGCGCTCCGCTTCGCGGTCGCGTTACCGAGCGCGCGGTACATGCGCGCGCGCCGCCTCCGTTCCTAGCGCGGAACCTACGGCGCGCAACCGCGCGCGGCGGCCGCGCTGACGGACACGTAAACAAGAAACGGGCTGGGTTCCGGGTCGCGGCCGCCGGCGCGACCAAAATCCCTAAACCCCTGCCGCGACTCCGAGGGGTCAGACTCAGAGGCAAGACTGGCAAGCAATCGGTGAGGATGCGGAGCGGCTTGAGCACTCGATACATGCAAACATGGCAAAGACCGGTCGCTGAAAATGGTCAACCGTGACGGTGCGATTGAATCGCTTGATTCGCGTTTCACCTCAATATCGAGTAACCTGTTTGCGAGGTGCAGACGGTTCTCTGCCACCTTTTCTCAACTGCAATTGGCGTCCAGTTCTCTTGAATTCCTCTCTCGTGCATCAAAATTGATTCCAGGCCTCCGCGTCAAATTCCTCTCCAGTTGACTCTGCCGCGCTCTACTCGATATTGCCAGAATTGAAGTGTGAGAGTTAGCCTGATAGCCACATCTCATTCTTCCGTCAATCTTCTCATCCTTACTCCCGGTATTTAATGACGGATGGAATATCGGACCGTCATTTTGCGCTCGCGCCTTATCTTGGCCGGAACGTATTACAAATCGGCTCGCTTGACCTTGGAGCACGGAATAACTCGACTCCTCCCCAGTGATTGGTCAAACAAGCATGCTGGTTGCAATAAGACCGACCGAACTCATATTTTGGCCCGGTTCCGGTTATCTCTTAACGGCCCTTCGTTATAGGATAGAATAAGCTGTCACTAGTGATTATCCTTGTTTCAATTCTCTTCAACAGGCGGCTCGCCAAGGAACTTCTGCGCCTGTCCCAAGCTTCCGCTTCCGCCCACTTAACATGCCCAACGGAATCCTGGCCGACGGAGCGGCTGCCAGCGGCCCGGCGGGTGCGGGCGCGGGACCGCCTTCAGAGGGCGACCAACTGCGCGAGGCGGCCGTGTGCGATGTCGCCAAAATGTTCAAGGCAGGCGTTATGGGCATCTTACGAGACGGCGCCAAAAGGGCTCGGGAAGAGTGCCCAGAAATTTTTAACGTCCTTTAAGGTGACGGTATCATAGCGAAGAGGACGGTATCATAGGATAGAGTAGCACCGTACCTGAAATTAGCAGTTCTTTCTCGTTGAGTGGAAATCTAGAGCTGTCAAAAGAGGGTGCTCTCCACGAAGAAGACTTGGTTTGTGCGGGTGTTTCGCACCCGCACAAATTATATTGACACGTTCGCTTGGACCACTGTTACGTGCAATCTCTGCGACATAGCAATGGTGGGTGTCATCCGTTCAAAAGGTTCGATTTCACTGAGATAAGTAGAACACGAGAAATGGTTCGGCTATCCGTTGAAGCAATGTGGACCACACTCCGACAGGCCATGATTCCTGTCTGAAAGCTTTTACGTTTCAGCAATTCGAACCCTGCCGAAGATCTCCTCAGATTCGAACCACATCATTGCCCCGAATGGAGACTGGTTTCCGCGCAAAGTTAGCAGTCCGCCGAAGCTTCTCCTTCAACGAATCGGCATTCTTTTTCACGTCATTTTGACTACTGCCCTAGAGACAGATTGCAGACTAAATAGGGCCATTACCGTTTTCTCCTGATGATAGAGTAAAGCCGGCCGTTAACTACAGATCTGGATCACATCGTATGCGACTCCTATTCTTAACCCCATTCGTTTGCGACATCGGATCAGATTCATTGCATCATGACCGCTTTATGAGCGCCTTCTTTTATACATGCATGGACGAACTCATGTTTACAAGCAGACTCTTTCAGATCACCCCTGTATCCTGTTTGTTCTTTTTTCTTAGGTTTCCTCCGTCAATGATCGTTTCGGAATGGATGGCGAAGCTATCCTATCAAACTTGAGCAGAATCTAGCTAGCAGTACGAGTTGCTTCTTGCAATGTGACCTACGCACTCCGCCAGCTTAACCATTCCTTGTGTACAAATAGCATTCATTTGTTCGTCAAATTCCGCAAACGATAAACTTCTTCGACCGTCACCGCTTCTTCTATTTCCACTTCGTCCCCCTAAAGTTCCTGTACAAGCATTTTAGCCGCCTGCCCAGTAAACTTCCCCATAATCTTGGCCAATGCAGATGCTCCCGTCTTCAGATCTTCCTTCGCAAATCTCAAACCCTCCAAATCCTCCTCACCATCTGCGCAAGTCTTCCCGCCCTCCACTCCCTCTTCATCTGCTAAACCCATTGACCCCTCGGCACCTTGTGCTTCCGCCGTGCCGCATCCGCGGCCTTCGGTCTCAGAACTTCTTTCCAAACCCTCCGAACCCTCCCCAGCGCCCGCCCCCGCGTCTCGAGCCTCCGCATCTGGACTTCGTTCGTCCCTCACACCGTCCGTCCTCTCTTCTTGCGCCACGTCATTTCCGTCCGCATTCTGGGCGTCCGACTTCGATCCGAGCTCCTCTTCGGGTACATCACTCCGGCGCCTGCATTTGTCCCCCGCGTCGCCACCGCCGCGGGAGCCGCTCGCGGCCGCGCTCGTGGCCGCGTGTCGAGTCTTCTTCCGTCGCACCGCGCGTTCCGCCGTGTCCTCGCCGTTGGCAGCGGAGTCACCGGAAAGGTCGACCACGTGCTGCAAGAACCCGTGTGCATTCTCAATCTGCTATTCTTGGATTCTCGATAAGGGTTTCGACGGAAGACGCCAAAAAGATCTCTTGGCTTGACGTTCCGCTACGTGCGCGCCTTTCAGAGAGTGAGGAAAACGTCGTCAATAGGGTGCCGCATGACGTGAGTCGTCCTGTGAGACCCCCCCTCAGTAAGCGCTCTCAAAGTCGTTTCATGTGAAACGGTTGATCCGTGCCGTTTGGCGATGAATATTTGGTCTTCAGATTCTCACCTTCCGCTTCTTGCACCCGGTGTTTCTGAAGTGCCCAACGTACGCTTGCTTGGTCGAGAAGTGGGTCAGACACGTGGAGCAATCGTAGCCGCCGAGGGCCGTGCCAGGCCGAACCGCCCCTTTCCCTTCCTTGTCCGCCTGTGAGCGAGGAGAGAACGAAAGTTTGATTGCATCAAACGAGACGCTGGGCAATACGGATTCTTGGCTACTTTGCTCGTAGCCAAAGCTGTGTGGCTGTTCGATGGCCGTATTCACGAACGTCTCAACTTTTAAGTACAAGATGACAGACAAGATTCGGTCGTGGTGGTTTTTCTATCCTATCCAAATCCGGATGATATCTTTGGGACTCGTAAGCTCCTGCAGAGTTTCTGCACCGGGGAGAGTCTGCGCCTTTGAGAAAGACAATTCAAGTGGCCAGGACGGTGAAACGATCCAGACACTCAATTCCAATATCTGATTTCGAGAAGTTTACCGTTAAGCCAATCAGAATCCTGTCATCTCACTCTTGGGAATACCGTCACGGAGAAGAAATTTTCGACACCGTAGATGCAGTCGCAAACAAGATTCTGTGCCTCCAATCAACGAGAACGATATCAAGCATTACGGACGAAGCAAAGCAATGATTCAGCTAGTGTGACGAGGCGGCACACATCAGCCTTCGACGGCTTCTCGCCCGTCGAATGGGCCGCGAGGATTGCCTCCCACTCCGGCGGGGGACCGTACCCGCCCGGTTCGACCATCTTTCGGAGCGACTCCAGCCTCTGAAACATAGATGAAGGGTGTCCGACTTTTCAGAATATAGATCTGTTACGCTTTGCAGATTCTTCATTATAACGAGGAGCTGTGGTGCAGGCCTGAGAGACCCAGATTCAGAGAAGACGAAAAGGTAGTTCATCCTTCTTGCCAGAGTCGGATCTAGATCCGGAAATGTTGTGGGCAGATGCAAAACGCACAGTTGGTTGCATACATGAACCAGGGTTGAGCTTGGATTTGCGTAACCGTACGCCTGGGCTCGTATGAATGCATTCTATTCCCAGGCTTTACTGGCGCAATCTTTTCCGAAGACCTTTCGAGGGTCGTCCGTAACCTTTCTGTCAATCTTAACCCTCGCCCGTAACCTTTCTGTCAATTTGACCTTATACGTGACCTCCTTTTCAAACATCGCCGGGGGCAATGTTTGGAGACACATATCCCCTTACTGACAACATAGAGCTTCACATACGCCTATCAGAAGCCACATTGTGGCTGGTCCGCCTACCTGCTTTGCATTGAAATCCAGGTCTTCCTTGCTTTGCAAGAATTGCAGCTCCCTCTCGCGTTCCCGATGGAGTGCCTCCAAGTAAACCAGCACTTTCACGAGGCCGGTGCACGATTTGTAGCTAAAAGGACTGCAAAGACACACGAAGTGGTACAATTTATCCGTGTGCTTTGATTTAGCTCGAGTGACCCACCTTTCTCCGGATCCAGATTTAGTTCTGACATGGCTAAAGCTGAGAAGCTTGTAAGACATGGTCTTTATAAAATCCCCGGTGAGAGAACCCCTCAGAAGAACTGACGAATCAGCTTAAAGAAGAAAAGAAAGAGAAGAAAGAAAAGAAAAGAAAGAGTTGCTCTTGACCTATATCCTTACAATACCTGGTTCTAAGGGTCCCAAACTCGAAAGCCCACCGCCACAATACATCATCTTGGGAGGCCCTGCCCATGAACAAACGGATCAATGCAAGCGTTTAATTTGTAAAGAACCGGTTCTGCAGTCTATTTGAGTGGTGGATTAGCCTTCCATGAGCCGCAACAAACGAGGAATATTTTCGGACCTAGAGTCGATCAGATTCTTCCGCTGTTTCTGACTTCTTTTAGGGAGACAAGTCATCAAAAAGCAAAAGCCCACCCAAGCTTCTGCAGCCCATCAGCGAAGTCTGTGGCGAACGGGCTCCCCTGCGCGCGCATGTCCTCCGTAAACTCCCTGCTGATCATCACAGAGTGCCTCACGCAGTCCATGCGGAACACTTCCGGGTTTTGCGGGTCGCTCTTCCACCACGCTTTCGCACCCTCGTTTACGACGGCCAGAAACGAGTCCGCAAACTTCCTCGTAACAGAAGCGGCGCGCTTTTGCACTGTGATCCAGCTAAACAGCGTTTGCTCCTCCTCGGCGAAACCTTCGAATGGAGGCCCTTCGCTCAGATTCGTACCGCGGAGGAGCTCTGCGAAGCGGTCCAGACTGGCGGGGATTTCACACTGGGTTTCCTCCATGGGGGCTGGATCGAGTTGCTTAGAACAGCAGGTTCTTTGGAAGCGAAAGCGCAGGCCGTGACTCTCGATGATAGACCACGCCTTTGACACCCAGACCATGGAACGAGGGGCCTTTCGAAGGAGCTGCCTAATACTTCGCTACCGGCCTGCCAAAGCTGCAATGGATAGTGCGCTCGAATTGATTGAAGGCTCTTGAGGAGGTATCGAGTCATTTGCTATGGGGCTCAACTCCTTGCTTCATCAGAACAGCGCAGCTGGTCCGCCCCTGGAGTCTTCTCTGCGCCACTGCCGTGTGAAAAGCGAGTCCATTAGCCGCTATCCACTTTTGCTGGAAAGAAAGACAATGCGCCCAGAGCTGTCTTGTCTCAAAGTGGTTTCAGCTGAGCCGAAATGATCCTTGCAGTAGATTGTTGTCTTCCGTCTCGGAAGCAGGTCCTTCGGTCTTCATCTTGCCGTGTTGCGCGATCATCACTAGAAGCAGCCGCATCCAAGCACAATCTCGCCTGCGGCCTGTGTTAGATTGGCTGATTTCACTACTGACGTGCATGTCGCATGCGATGCATGGGCTTTAAAAACCTACGATCGACTTATCAGAAGTTTCTTCCGTCGCTTTCCGAGCATTGTCGAGTTGGCCGAGTGCTTTGTCGGAATCGGTTGCAAGCTCAGTCGACACATGAAGCAGGGACGCAAATTGTAGGGGCACCGACAGTTGAACGGCATAACCTCGGACGCACATTGCGACATGCATGCAGGAAATCTGTCCTTCAGAAGCTTTTCTCCTTGTCAACCGAGATTAAGGCACAAAAGTTGCCATTGTATCCTACTAGCCCTGAGTCGCGGATTTGGTGAATGCCAATCTGCTTTGATACATGTACGTTCGACCTGACATGAAAAAGACGCAAGTCCTGAGCCAAGCGCTATCGTCGGAGACATCTAGCTGACCGTCGACGAGTCACATGGATTGCATGAAGTCAACGATCACGATATGCATTTTCAATTGTCCCCCGGGGGCCTCACTAGTGATGCAGAATGCGGGAGAAAATGTACGCTGTTTACCTAAGTGCCGATTTGGACTTTGGTGGCTGGAAGTCAGTAGATTGCAGAGGTAATCTCATGCAGCCAATCAGATCTCTGTCAGAATTACTCGATTATACGGATAAACAAAACGTTTGAGAAAGCAACCATGTCCCTTACAAGCATTGCAGGTTATTCACCTTGATCAGAGATTGAAATCATTTTGTCCGATTCTACAATATATGCACAAACGTTTCAATCTACAATTTACCTTCCCGCTCAAAGTTTAGTACAATCTGCAAGCACATCATGTTCGCTCTTGCCGCTACACATGATCAGTCACTGAAACTCACTTGATGCTTCTTGCTGATCATCTAAGTAATCATCCTTGCGCTCATGAAGGTCGAAACCTGGCGCGTCGTTCATCAAATATCCTCATCATGGCTGTAATGTATCACACCTTCTGTCAAACAATGAACGATTATCAACTTCCTTGCCCAGACATCTACCTCAGATACCGTGCGCCCGTGAACAGTAGGCAGGCAAGTGCGAGCACACGTGCCCCACCGCCAACTCGCGTGAGCCCCTCCAAATGCTTTCCGCTCAGGTCCCGAATCGCCGCTCCTACCTCCTTTACCTCGTCCTTCACGGCATCAAGCCCATCTTTCCCCACATCCTTGTACTCTTTGCCGGCAAACGCGAGTGCGAGCGCCCCCAAACCCAACCCCGTGCCGAGAGCCACTCCAAGGCCCACCCCGACCCCAATCCACCTCCCTGCAGACTTAACAGCCATCGGCAGCGCCGCTCCCGTGTCGATTGCTCCCTCCTCGATGCTCTTAAGCAACTTTTCGTCGATCTCTGCAAGGTAGCAACAGTTGTCAGTGCTTTGAGAAACAGCGTGTCTGCCTAGTGAATCCCAAGACCCTGCATCGAAAGCAATTGAACCAAAGCAAGGGAGTGAAATGCTTCTCTGAAGTGCCTTGAGAAGAAAAGTTTCATGGTGCCTGTTCTCAGTGTGCTCTCTCCACGGCCTGACAAGGGAGCTGCTCCCTCGCACTCCTAAAAACTCAACCAATTCATCGTGTCTTGTCATCAGCTCCGGCGCTTGTTTTGCCGTCTGATAGAAATTCGCGGCGGGTGCAGTTGGGTGCAGTATACTTATGCTGACCGGACTCGGAAGTATAAGATACTAAGGCTGCGCCGCACCGCGCCGCGCGGCCCGGGCGCCAAACCCTCAACCCCTGAAACATACCCTCAACCCCTGAAACATCGACGCTCTCTAAGCCGTCCGATCGTAAAGAGTGCATGCGACGGCCGGGCGGCCTCCGACGGATCGTGATTCGCGTGATCGCCGGGACTCTGCGAGTCACGTGACACGAGCCATCTCACGCTCTAGTTGCTGCAGCAGCCCCTTGAAAGCTGACTCAGCTTCTCTTTGATCAGTCACCAGCTCAGCATTTCCTTTGCCCCTTTGCAGCTGGTGCAGGAAATTGAATGCTGGTTCCTGCTTCATCCTTCTTTGGTGGCAGGGGACTGCAGGAGCTAGAGCAGGTTAAATTTGTGCTGGATAATCCATTTGTCGGGCCGGTTTGTGTGAATTAGGGTTTGGGGCGCAGAATGGAGTCTGGCAGGGCGAGCGCTGGCGCAATGGAGGCGGCACTGAACAGGCTCCAGAAGCTGGCCCTGCACTTGGGCTCTGAAGCCGGCTTCGAAAGCAGCCCGCTCTCTGCAGAGCCGACCGCTGCTCGTCTCTCAGAGAAGCACAGCCAGCTCAGGGTTGAGAAGCTGCAAGCATTTCTGGCAGGGAGCTACAAGGTGGACAAGGAGCGCATCTATGCCTTCTTCCAGAATCACCCTGAGCTGCAGACGCCTGTGGAGATATCGAAAGTAGAGCACAGGGAGCTTGCTTACAAGCAGATGAAAGCCCTGGTGCAGGAAGGGGGCCTCAAGCCCCTGACTCTGCTCATGACTGATCCAGCCAAGTACTACAACGTTTTTGAGGCAATTGGGACGGTGGATTTGTCCCTGAGCATCAAGATGGGGGTGCAGTACAGCCTGTGGGGGGGAAGCGTGGTGAACCTTGGGACGCAGAAGCACAAGGACAAGTATGCGGTGGCAATTGAGACCTTGGAGGCCCCCGGGTGCTTTGCAATGACGGAGCTCCATCACGGTCAGTTGCATCTTTGATTGATTGGTCATCCAAACCCGATATTCATTATGGTTGGATTCATCTTTTGATCAATCAGTCACTTTTCCTCAATTTCCAAACTTCGGATTATTTTTGCAAGTGACCTCCTTCCTTGAAATCTTGCTGTCTTGTGGTTGAGTATTAGCTTGTTCAGTGTGACAGAGCTTCATTGTTGTCAGCTTCATCCTTGATCACGCTGTAGCTATTTTTCAGAGGTTTTTGCAAGGTTGATTTTAAAAAGAGTTGCTGCCTTGTGGCGATCCTTAACTCATCCAAATCAGTGGTTGCTTAAACTGGTTCCTATTTTTGCCTTTGAGCCGCAGCTGTTCAATGCTAGTGAATATCCATGTTCCCTTGCTTTTGGCAGATTCAAGTGAAAACAATTGGTGCTGTCATTTCATATCCAGGGAAAGTGAAGGTGGCAGCTTACTTACTTGGTGTCAGCATTGCGCTTCATGTGATCGCTGTCGATGACTTTGAATCGCCCCTTCAGTGCAATCTCTATATAAGCAGACAGCACACACGGGAAGTAAAGGTGGTGCACCATCAAACAACGAGCCTAGCACGAGAGAACATCATACAATTCCCAGAAAGCCTAAGCTTCATGTTTATGAAGTCATCACCACTTCGCTCTCCACTGACACGAATTGTTCTTGATATTGCTACCTCTCACGACAGCTTTTTTGCGCTTGATTGTTAGTCAGTCAACCTTCAGAGGCAGGCCTCACCTTTCACATGCCCCTGACCCCTGGTGCACTCGAGACACGTCTGTGCCACCACTCATCCATGTTTAAGATGACCAAATTTTTCCCCTGCAATCTCACACAATCAGGGTGCACAGAAGACACTCATCTGCAGAACTCCGCCGTTTCTTCCTATAACCTCTCTTTGCGCTTAACCTGCTCTTGATTTGCACATAAGTGCCCGCCCAACCTGCGCTCAACTTGCTCTTAACCTGCACTTGTCCTGCGCTTAACCTGTGTCTGCTAAAGCTGCAGGGTCCAACGTCCAGGGCGTCCAAACGACCGCCACCTACGACATTGCTCGCCAAGAGTTCGTCATCAACACGCCCAACGAGGGCGCCACAAAATGGTGGATTGGCAACGCGGCCTGCCACGGGAAATTCGCCACCGTCTTTGCCAGGCTGAAGCTCCCCTCCGCAAAGAGTCACATTGACGAAGACATGGGAGTGCACGCGTTCATTGTGCCGATCAGAAGCTTGGAGGATCACAAAGTGCTGCCTGGGGTGGAGATCAGGGACTGCGGCTACAAGGTCGGGCTGAACGGAGTGGACAATGGCGCGCTGCGGTTCCGGAACGTGCGGATACCGCGGGAGAATCTTTTGAACAGGTGTGTGGCTGGGGTGATTTGAGGTTGTCTGTAGCTTTCCTGGGGTGGTTTTTGAATGATCCCTTGGTCAGGACTGCTCTGAAAGGACAACCCTCAGTTAAGTGAAAAGGTGAACCATTTATCGACTGTGATTAGGTTGTCTGAAAGTTGGAGGAAGAGGACTGAGCGAAGCAATATGGACCACGTTTGCGCATCAAGGTCTCCAAACGTTGTCTAACTAATGATTTGGATTTTAAGCCCAAGTTTTTACAGAGTACTCTAGTTTTTTCCGAGAGCGGAAGCACTTTATTGTTCTGAATTTTCCTGCGAACTTTGTAAAAGCAGTCTGATGTTTTCAGGATTTGCTAACTCACTTCGGTCCACAAGCAATCTCAGCAGCACTGCCTGGGCTTCGAGAGACACCTCGAGTGTGTACAAGGGCTTGCCAAGTTCGCGACTTTGGTACGAGTTGACAATACTCCACAAGACCACCCCGCTTATTCAGAGCTGCTGATAACGAGAGAGCAACTTTTCTTTGCTTGCAGATTCGGTGATGTTGCTCCTGACGGGACCTACTCGAGCCCCCTCCCTTCGGCCAGCAAGAGATTCGCTGCCACCCTCGGTGAACTGGTGAGTATCTCACACCACCTTTCCAGGTTTCTAAGCAATACGTGCTGGTTTTCATTCAAGCCACTTTGAAAACACACGGTTGATCAGTCAGCAAAACGCGCATCGTAGAAGGCACGTCCTAACGCGACTTCGCTTTCTTGCTGTGATGCTGTCCGTCATCAGAAGCCTTTCCTTGTTACTGCCAACATATTCTTATCGTTGCATGCTTCAAGTAGTAAGGGACAGAGCACTTCGTCTCGCATGTCATTGAAAACAATGGAGAAGAGCATCCCTTGGCCATATCCCATCTGTATGTTGGACCAATTCGAACAAGCAATCTTGCAGGTGGGTGGACGTGTCGGCCTGGCCTACGGGTCTGTTGCTGTTTTGAAAGCCGCCTCCACAATCGCCATTCGCTATTCGTCCGTTCGACAACAATTTGGGCCACCTGGAGAGCCCGAGATTGCAATCCTGGTGAGTCAATCCTTGTTTGATTGTGTTCTCTTTTGCATCCATGTCCCCTTGTCTTGCAGGTCTTTTGACAAACATGGCGATCAATCCGGTCATGTCATCAGCCGCTTCCGCGGATTTGTACTCACGTCGATACGTCGACACTTGGTGTTTTAGACTACAGTCGCAACAGAAACTGATGAACATCCCGCATTTTTTGTATGCCTTATCCATTTCGAGCCTGCTCGGCAGCATGTTTCAGAACACCCATTCTACAGAAAAGCAGAAGGAGTCGTTCTTGATCATGTCATGAGCTTGCTTCTATCATTGGTCGCAGCAGCAGAAGCTGAGGCTCATGCTCGAAGTCATCGTATTCTTCTTACCATGCCGCAATGCGCTCCATCATCAGAACTTCGTACGAATGACTACATTTGTCACAACAGTGACACCGTCTCCACCGGCCCCTTGCAGGACTACCAATCGCAGCAGCTGAAGCTGATGCCTATGCTCGCGTCCTCGTACGCTTTCTACTTCGCCGCCGACTATTTGGTGAAGCGTTACGCGGAGATGAAGATGACCCACGACGAGGCGATCGTTGCGGACGTGCACGCGCTCTCGGCGGGGCTCAAGGCGCACATCACAGCGTATACAGCGAAGGTGAGAAGCCAGAACGATGCTATTTGCTCTGTGCTGAATGCTTGGGTGACTGGAAAACCTGTCCTTTGGTACTTCGTACGACGTGTCATGCGCAAGGTGTGGGTGAGAATGTTCAGTAGATTGGAGTAGAGAAGCGGAGTACTTTTGACAGCAGTGTTCTTCGAAAGGGATGGGCAGGAGATTCCTTTGAAATCGACATTCAAAGTTTCTGAAGACTAGGTGCTTTTTACGTCCAGCAGCAGACAGCGAAAGCTTCTAATCAACAATCTTTCTTTTTCATCTTGCTTATCCTTGCCGCTCGCTTCGCTCTTGGTCTTCTTGGCGTTCAGCTTTTCCGTGTGTTGAGCCAACAACGTGATTCATTCTCTGCCGCCCTTCATCAGCAGAACTGAGCATGACGCGGAGCGCGTGCGGGTCAATTTATTCGGCCCCAGATATTATTTTATAACCCGATCTCTTGAGTTCCGTCGAAACAATCTCAGTCTGCCACGACGCGATTGATCGACTTCCGTGCGCCCGCTTTGGTTTTTCTACGGCAGGACAAAACGAATGGAAAAATAACAGACCACAACGTCATTTGCAGTCGCTCAGCGTCTGCCGGGAGGCGTGCGGCGGACACGGCTACGCGGCTGTGAACCGGTTCGGCGCTCTCCGTAATGACCACGACATCTTCCTGACGTTCGAGGGCGACAACACCGTGCTGCTGCAACAAGTCGCGGCGGACCTGCTCAAGCAGTACAAGGAGAAGTTCTCGGGGGGTGCGCTCGCGGTGAGGATGTATTTTGGTTTTTACACCCTGGACATTGTAGGGTTTGAAATCTAAAAACACTGAGCACTGAGCGCCGAGATGTCTGCGTCTTGGAGATGACTTTCGCAAGCAGTACAAGGAGAAGCTGTTGGGGGTGTGGTCGCGGTGAGGATCTCAGTCGAAGGTCTACATTTCCAAGGACACAATCTGAGGCCTTTAGAAGTCTGGAGACGTGGCGCTGAGGAGGTCCTAGAGCTCAGCCTCTTGTTGGCGATTTCCTGCGGAACATCGTGCGAATTACGCGCAGAACTATCCTCTTTGGAGGAGCGCAGGTCGTAGAGAAATGCGGGGATTAGTGGGATCGGAGATTATACAGTATACAGTAGACAATTTACGCTTTAGCTTGATAAGCGGTGGCCCTCAAGACCGCGGAATCGAGGGTCAGCAAACTTGAAGGCGGTTGCAGCATAAGCAGCGTCGATAAGCGGTGGTCTGTCGATGCAGGTGACGTGGCTCTACCTCCGGCAGCAGATGGCCACGTACACGTCGCAGACGAACCCGGTTGCGACCCATCGGGGCAGCGCGGAGCATTTGCGGGACCCAACCTTCCAGCTCAACGCGTTTAGGGTGAGCTTTTCCAGAAGTGCTTGTTGACCACCGGTTACCAAAAGTGCTTCCTAAGCGATTGAGACCTGAGGGTGGCCGCGGGGTGGTTGGCAGGAACAGGCGAGCTCTGCGTGACGGAGTCCGTTCTGCTTTTCACTCCACACGATCTCCGATGCTGAAGGAAGCTTTGGAGTCATTTCTCAACTCTGCGCGCTGGTGTTGAGCGTCTGTCGCACTGTTCGTTTTCTCTTCCCTGTTTCGTTCAAATTGTCAATGTCACCGGTCCGACTCTCCACCTGGACTCAAGATTGTGTTCGGGCGACTTGGAGAGGACAGAATTCAAAATCCGGGAGATCGTGGCGTTCGGATTCGAGACGGACGTCCATAACCGAAATGGACTGGTATTGGGAAACGACATTTGACTCTCACTTCTATGCTCGAGCCGTTCTGCCCGCCGTCAAACGGGGAGAAGAAAATCAGTACATGTGTCGACGTTCAAAACAGCTTCAAAACAGCGTTCCTCGAACGTCCAAATTTCATCGTTGCAGTATCGGACGGCGATGCCGCTTCACACGGCGACGCTCCGGCTGCGCAAGAACAGTGTGCGGCTGGGCAGCTTCCAGGCGTGAAACCGCTCTTCCAAGTCAGAATTGAAATCTGTGACACTTGAAATTGTTTCCTGAACGTCCGATCTCCGATGTGCAGTATCGGACGGCGACGCTGCTGCACACGGCGGCGCTGCGGCTGCGCAAGCACAGCGCGCGGCTAGGCAGCTTCCAGGCCTGGAACCGGTGCCTGAACCACCTGCTCACGCTCGCTGAGTCGCACATCGAGTCCGTCATCCTCGCCAAGTTCGTCGAGTCGTACAAACGGTAAGAGCTGCCCGCTCCGGAATCAGTGCGGACTTCATCTGCACACAGGTTTCTGTGCATGTTGTCGTTACCATTCCATTTGCTCATATAGATTCTTGTTTGCGCCTGTTTGGCTTGTTGTTGTCTGCGTATGCTCGCCGCTCACTTCATACGCCTCCTACTTTCCTGTCATACCTCGTCACTGAGACGCGTTGGATGTCCACTGTGAATGACGCGATGTCGACCCCTTGCAGTTGACTGCATGCTTCGACTAGCGCTGTATTGAACATGGCTCCTTTTTCCGCCAGTTTATGCTAAGCACGCGAACTGTGGTAGGTCAGGCCTGCTTAGTGGCTGACCCGACGATTTATCCCCAAAATGCTGGAAAAACAAAAGCAATATTATGCAGACCTTACGGACATCAAATCAGGAGGCTTCAAGGGAGGCACTGTACTGCGGGAGGAGCAAGATAACGTTTGCTTCTTGCATCCGACACCTTCCTCTTCACGTCTTGGCAGGTGCCAAGATCCCGAGGCGCGCTCCGCGCTCAAAACTCTTTGCGACCTGTACGCCCTTGAGCGGATTTGGAAGAACATTGGTTCCTTCAGGAACGAGGACTACGTGGCGCCGAGCAAAGCGAAGGTGGGACTGCTGATTCTTTCAGTCCCAATTGCCTCCATCAATCTATCCCTCTGACGGTATTACTAGAGCTCGTGGAGCCACGCTTCGATTAAACTGGCGCAAAACTGGTGCAAGCGGTCTCGTTACGCTTCGGCTGCTTTTTAATTCTGCGCTTGACATCAGGCTGCTGGTGTAAACGTCAAACAAAGGTGGAGCCGACTGGCCCGAGTTGGGTCAGAACCATGGATTGCTCGAGTCTCAGTCCGATGAATTTTGACTGTCAAAGTTTCTTTGAGTATCTCCTGACGTTCAATTTCCCTCTCCAGGCAATTCAACGGCAAGTAGAACTATTGTGCTACGAAGTGCGTGGCATGTCGGGACAGTTGGTAGACGCCTTTGGCATCCCCGACTCGATGCTGCGGGCACCCATTGGGCTGAAAACCGGCCAATACGCGGAATACAGCTCGATGATTGGATGGTAGAAGGATCATTGTCGTTGTAAAATAGTAAGCAGGCAATATCTTATGATTATCCAATACGTTCATGAGAAGCTAAGCTCCTTCGCAACTGTTGAGGTTTGAGCGTGGCGGCCAACATTTTTTTGGCACGATTATATAACGGCTCGACTAGGTATGGTGGACTTCATGCAAATTCCTACATAATTGATTTAAGTGACGTTCAGCGTTGAGCTATAGCTGGCATCAAATGTGGACCTTCCGACCAAGTTAATTTATCAAATGGTACCGTACGGGGTCCTATTTGAGGACTCCGGATTGGTGTTTTTCCAAGTCTGATGACCGATGATCTTTGAAACTCAAAAACACGCCTGATATTAAGCAATGATATGGGCTCGCGACGGATCGCGCCTGGCGTCATAGTGTACACGCTTGAGAGTGACCCCTGAGTCACTCGAGTGAAATGATATTGGGTTAAATCGAACGTCGCTGTTAGAGCTACACTGGCAGCGGTGCACTGAGGCCTCCGATCACGAATGGCAGGGCATCGCAGCGCATTGTGGTACAGTGTCACAGCTCTGGATTGGTTTGGCTGCTATAGAAAACCTTTGTTGTACTTTGGAGTCTCATGTCACGCCCTCAATTGGCTAGTCAATATGTCATTAATGTCCACTTGCATGATCTACAAATCAGCCTCGGCAGAGGTCGAACTTAGGCGGACTGGCGGCCGGAGACTAGCCTAGCTCTAGCCTGTATCATATCAGTGTTACAGTACCGTCTCAGGCTAGCGCTAGGGACAGGGTCTGCAGCGCGCGGCGGCAGAAGATCATTCTGCAGTGAGACGCGCAAGGCGGCCCGGGCGGCCAGAACATCTTGTGCGCGCGCAACATGCTCCTGATTGCTTGACCGTCGATGAGTCACATCCACGGTGACAATCTCCATTGTACAAATACTTCATGCAGATGGCGCACGTGCCGCTGTCGCAACCTGCGCATGCAGGTATGCGCCGGCCGACATGAGCCGTGCAGGCAAGCTCAGGCTGGCAAGTACCTACCGTAGCTGCGCTGAGCGTTGGACTTCTCATGCTAGGTTAAAATTTCACGCCACATACTGAGTCGTGCAGACCCAGTGGCTCGAGAGCCTTCTCTTACCCTTATTCTCCGCACAAATGTCTGTCTAACATCGTAATTAGAAGAGGACTCATGGAAACATGAATAACTTTTAAATCTGTATCGCTCACGTGTGATTGCTTGTCTAGGACGCCCCCGGCATTCGCCACTTCATGCATGAACTGAAGCAATACAAATGGGGCTGGTGCTTGTGCATCCTCATAGTGCGCTCGTGCGCTCCAAAAGTGAGGTAAAAAACCAATGAGATAGTAACTCTTTGGAACTGAATCACAACCAAGCACATTCAGCATGCGCCAGCTGCTCATTCTACCCTAGGCTTTCTTTCCAAAATGAGGGGCGCTGGAGGGACCCTCAGCCCCACCCGGGGGGCGCGCAGGAAGCCGCCCTCTAGTTCCTGCAGCTACAGCTCCGCTCCCACAATATCGCTATGTCTGTCCCTTGCTTTTCTCGTTTTCATGGCGACCCACCTGGGGGGAACGCGTGACAGCAAGGTCGCCCACTCGCAGCCCACTGAAGTAACGACGGCGAGAAAGCTTTCGGGAGAGGGGCTCGATTTGTGGCGGGGGTATGAGCGAGCGGGGCAAAATGGCGGAGGAAAGAAGATGGATTTGGAGGAAGAGCTGGAAAGGGATTTGAGCAATGAACAACCGTTGCATGAAACAGAGGGATCGATGAGAAACAGGAAATCGAGAACGAGGGGTGGGGAGGGAAGTTTTGGACGTCCAAGAAAGGTGCCCGTGTCTGAACAGGAGGCGGGAAAGGTAGCAGCCAAGGCGGGTGTGATTAAGTTCGAAATGCAGCAGGGGGGGGTGGATGCGGAGGTCTCCGGAGAGAGTGAGTGGGAACGGATCCAACGGGAGGAAACCACCGGCAGCAGAACTTCGGAGGAAGGCTCTGGTGAGAAGTCTGAGCTCGAGGGTGAGCTTGTGCGGAGCCTTAATGTTCAAGGAGCGTTTGCAAATGAGAGGGCGGACGATTTGCGAGAATCGAAGGATGAGAGTAAGACGCCCCACAGTCAAGGGGGTGGCTCTGGGTTTCGGATTGAGGTTGAAGAATCCAGCTCGTTGAAGAGCAAGGAAAGGAAAGCTGATTTCGAGGGGGGTGGTTCTGAGATGGGGGGGTCAACATCTACAATGCAGGAAACCAAGGAACCCGAATCACATTCGGTGGTTCCCATCGGTACGGAGAGCATCGAGCTGGGGAACCTTGGTCAAGGTCAAGCTAACCAGCTGCAGAACCCGAGTTTAGCTGGGCAGCAAGAGGAGGGGAACGGGTTCGGGGTGGCACACTATTCGGGTCAACTTGCCCAGATTCCAAGTGCAGTCACAGTAACGTTTGACGACGAGATTCTAGAAAGTCGAAATCCTGAAGCAGACATGGGTCAAGCTAACCCGGTTGAAAGCCGCCTGTCTGCCAGGCCTCAGGAAGAGCAAACCGAGATAGGGGCTCTAGGAATACTGAAGGCTGCGCAAGCAAACCGAGATCGAAACCAATCTACAGTAGATGAAGAGGGATTCGAGGGTGACAGTCGAAGTGCAACAAAAGCTGGTCACAGTCACAGTGACCAGGTTGAGGAGCGCCCCTTGATTCGGTTCGGAGAGAAGCCCACAAAGCAAGTCTTGATGGTTAAAGAGTTCTTCGAACACAACGAGATAGAAAGCTTAGGACACGTGTCAGACGATGAAGGGAGCTCCGGGGGCACGGACCTCGATAAGCCGTTCGATGACGACCTGGCTTTGGCCGTGCTGCCAGAGTTTGGGGATCGGTTATTTGCAGTGGCCAATAATGTATCAGAGGCAGGTGGTAGCACACAGAACGTTCTGGTTCGGACTTCCGAAACTGAAGCGCCCCATCCGTTCCTTGCGAAGCACAACAGCAGCTCCCAATACGAGAAAGCGGTAGTTAACGGACGGTTAGTAGACGTTACCTACCGGCAAGCGCTGCTACGATCGTTTCAAGACGGCCTAGACTGCATGGCTCTGGGGCTGGAGCTTTTCGACGGGAACGCATCGCTTACGACCGGAGCGAGCGCTTATGGCAGCTGCGCCTTCGTGGGGAACTCTGGGATGATGCGCGCGGCGGAGCGCGGGGCGGAGATCGACGGCCATGACGTCATACTGCGGTCCAACCAGGCACCCACAAAAGGCAAGCAGTGCTTTGCACAAGAGCGAAGCTGGAAGTGTCGGGTCACAAGTAGGACGATCAGCGATAACCCGGTAATACAGTATTGAAACAATCGGCAAAAACCATTGACATGGTGCAGTTGTTGAAGCTGCCTTTGGAACGAAGTAAAAGATGTAGCTTTTCAGATAATCTAGCGAGATGATGACACGCTTGTATTAGGCCTCCAACGACCACCTGCGTGCGAAGCTCCTCATTTGCTGTGTCGTCATGCCCGCAGGTTACGAAAACTTCGTGGGCTCAAAGACGACCTTCCGCTTCCTCAACAAGAAGTGGGCGGTGGTTTACGCGAGCTCCACCCAGGTGAGCAGTTAAACAACTATCGTTTGCGGTACGTACTGCCTTGGTTACTTCCTTGACCCTTGCCAAGTGGCTACAGAAGGCTGCCAACTAAGGAAGGAAAACAGGGGCGGGGCGAACCCGAATTCTGTCACACGCGTAAAGATTACCGACCACCTTGCTCAATAGTGGGTCCCCAAGCCAGGAGCTTTGCGAATACCGGGTACGATCATCGTTCGCGCTGATTCGCCCAGCAATTGTCAACCGAGGAAGACAGAAAACGAGACTCGGCCGCAGACGCACCGGCTCGTTAACAGCATCCGATGTCGTTCACCTTCTTTGACCCCGTACGTCGTCGTACTAATGCTTTTTCACCTCCTCGTAGACGATGTGACATGCGCTTCGTTATTTCTCCATTTCGGTCCTGCATCTCGTCTGCTACCTTTCTCTTTTTGCTCACTCATGAAGCCGGCCCAGTCCGTAGGGCGGAGACTTTCTTCTCTCACACAAGGACCACCCGCACAGATTTGATTGTTTCTCGTTACTACTTTGTCAATCACTTTACTCTTGCGTTTACTTGTTAGCGTATCAAACCTCACTGTGCAGGGCCGCGGCATCCTTCCCCCGCACGCAGACCCCGGTACTCTTTACATGTTCCGCCCTGAATCTCTTACCAACAATCACCAAACACCAGCCCCCACTGTGCAGGGCCGGGGCATTCTTCTGCCGCAAGAAAACCCCGGTACAGTTCTGATTGCGTCCCGGTCGGAGGAGCCTGAGTACTCGCGGCTGGTACAAGCGGTCGGGGAGACGCGGCCCGACGTCACCGCCGTACACCTGTCAGGGGAGGTCAGGCGATGCGCACACGTGGCGCTGCACTTGGCGCGACAGGTGGGCGGATTTCTTGAATTGCCGCAATTGAATAAGAGGATTTCCGGCTGTCCTTTCCCTTCTGTTTGCGGCGCTAAAGCGGGTTTGAAAAACCGAAAGGTTTCACTGAAGAGTGTCGCGGCCTCGACGAAAGACAGGCTGCCGTTCGATTTCAAGGCGACTTAAAGCATGAATTGCTTTGATTCATAGGCTCTTCTACAGGGGTTACACGGAGGAACGGAATTTAAAACTAAAAACAAGGAACCGCTTCTGAAATGTAAGAAGCAGAAGCTGGGCAAATGACCATTTACACTTGTGAATGTGAGTTCCATCCTTATCATCTAATGAAATTCTTTCTTGCAGGCTGCAAATGCGCACGAGATCGAGTACGAAGGAGGTGACGTGGTAAGTGATTATTTGCTCAGTGTCTGCTTCAAAGGACTGGTCAGCCGACTTGCTTCGGATGCAGACCTGAGCACCTATACTCTTCCAGATGCCTCTCGTCGGGAAACTAAATAGGGAGAATTATGCTCTTAAGAAGTCAACCATTTCAACATGCCCCGCATTATGCGGGAATCTTCGTAGACACTTCTTGAAGAAATACCATAAAACGCTCTGGCTTGAGAGTTCGGCCGAAAGTTCGCATCCTTTAAACCTTGGCAACGAGGCGTACGAGCCCGTTTCTAGAGCAGGATCTGCAGGCGAGTCCATTCGTTCGTGCGCAGTCAGGCAGAGAAAGCCAGTATCCCTGAAAGCGAATGTGCACACATCCGCGAAGCAGCTGGTGGGTCAAAAGCCGTCGAATTGTAGTGAAATATCACTTGTCTTTGACTGGGCTCCAGAGGACGGGCTGGTCACCGAGGAGACCCATTTAGAGCGTCTCGTCCCGCTCAAGTTTCTGCAAGCCTGAGATTTGACTTCACCAAAGCTAGTCCACTTGATTCTGAAAATGTACAGCAGTTTCGAACGCTGACGTCGAAACGATCTTCCGGACTTCAACGGCTCTTCAGATTGTGAGGCACAACTTTGCCACGACGAACATGTACTCACCATATGGTGGGTCGTGGGAAGTTTATATTTCTCAATGTTCTTGGACCCGCCTTGAATGCTTTTAAGTCCGAATTCTCAAAAACTCCGAACACGAGCGAAAATCTCCTCTTGTCTCAGAACCGATACTTAATTCTCGCAGCCGAGCACCGGCTTCCTGGCCATCTTCTTCCTCCTCCAAGCCTGCAAGTCCGTCGACGTCTACGGCCTCTCCATGGAGCGGAGCGACGGCCACGTGGCGCAATCGTGGCCGTACCACTACTTCGAGCACTACGTGGACAGCGAGAACCTGCGCGCGCACCCCCACCACTCGTTTCAGATGGAGGGCGACCTGGTCAGGGCAATGGCAGTCGAGCGGCCCGCCCGGCTGAGGGTCATGGAGGAACCCCATACGACAGTCGAGCCTTAATAAGCAACTCAAACACATTAAGTACCTATTTGATAGTGATTCTTTCGCGTCAAAGCTGATGGGTACTGCCCCCACGTGTAGCACCATCCGACAAAACTAAGATCCAGTTTGGATCTGGCCGTCTGGTTGCGTCAAAGTGTGGGATGCAATCAGTATCAGGTTAGATTTTCCAGTGTTAGGTGCAACACGAGACGCTACGTTGAACCAGGTAGTAAGAGTTGAGGTGTCTAACGACCAGGTTTGAAAAACGTTGAGCGGCCCAGTTGGGAGGCTCACCGATCAGGCGTGTGAAGATTCATTGGACTCGAGCACGCAGTCAGACGGGAACTTCATGTCGAGTACGAGAATTCTGTGAGGATACTGACCTAGCTACAGTCACATCCGACAACCAGCAAAGCTACAGACGCCAGGAATACAAGGAGTTCATCAATTGTCAGTGCGATACTAAGTACAACGATTTGTCGAGTCGCCTGCAACTGGGGGGCCGCCTACCTTTGGTGCAATCAGTTCCCTTATGATGATAAGGTCTGACCAAAGCCGGCGATATATCCGCGCCGCTGCTTCAATATTCTGCAAGCCAGTATCGACGACTCATCCGAAAATCGTTTCAAGTTTGGGTATATGGCTCCGATATGGCAAAAGAATTCCGAATTGATGAATTGATCACTGTATGATCGCTGTGAGTCTGAAGTTCAATGCGCAATCCCCGCAACCTAGTACGGTAACCACAACTAGTAATCTAGCCTGTTCGGATCCTCTTCATAAGAGGGCACTACATAGCTGCTCAGCTTGAGCCAGTTGCACGCACTATATGATGCCAGTATGTGCACTGAACTTAGTCGATTAATTGCCAAATGTCAACTTATCGCAAAGAATCGAAGCTGAGCATGATTAACTATGACTTGATTCGCGCCGCCGCGACGGTCTCGAGTAAAATCTGTGACCACAACAATAGAGTGATGCAAAGATCATTCCGACCGGATCTGATACCATACTCGCGACGGTCATGAAAAGTGTAATTGATCAACTTAAAAGATTGATCAATCTTTTAACTCGAGTTCGTCGGAACTCGTTAGATCCCGCCATGACATGACAAGATGGGAAGGAGTTGGACTAGACCCAGCTAGGCATCACACGATCATGTTTGGAAAGCAAAGATTCACTGCATCCGATATACGTGAGTGACTGGCCGGGCGTGCACCATGGCTGCCTGGCTGGGCCTGGGGCTAGCGTGTCGATTCCCAATAGCCACACAACTTTAGAGGCTACTGACTTACATACAATCATACGAATTGGAATGCATACTATGATATTCAAGACACGAAGCGTGCTTACAAGGTTCATCACAAAATACAAAGTGGATACAACAATTGACAGCACTATGACATCGGTTGGCAGTGTGGCAGGGACGCTCTGCACCAATTTCCAAAACGAGCGAGTGCAGTAACACACTTGCCTGTCCGCCTGCTTAAAGGACTTATTGTGTGCCGGCAGAAAACGTACTGCAACGACAACAGATCCACCGACGAACACTCTTTTGCATGCACAACTGCCTTTGAAGCATCAATGTGCGCGCCCAGGAGATAGGAAACACTGCAGCATATCAGCTAAATGCAAATCGTTGAGTGACTTTGCTGAGCAAGTGAAGCCGCCTACTGATGCATGATTCCAATGGGCTTTGGTGGGGGGATCCACCGTTTCGTGTTGTAGACGCTCTCGCCAGGCACCCAACCGGGAACGTCCTTCATGATCTTTGCTTCATTTTCAATCTGCCGTTGCTTAGCATGGACAAACCTGGAGCCCGAGAGAACAGCGTCAGTCCACCAGGGCAAACGCTGACTTCATGCGTTCGCTTAAGAAGAAACATCAGGAACGAAAGGCAAGAGAGACGAGGAAGTGGACGTGGTCAGAAGGTGCTGGCTGCAGCGATCCTACATCTGATGACCTTTCTGCTGAGAAACCTTGCATATAGAATGCTTCCACGTCATCAAGCTCGCCAATCCGCTTGGCACTCTTTGCAAAGTCTGAGTTAGAAACAAAGTCACGTCAGCCTCAGCAATGTCAACACAGTCATGGAAAAATAAGCGCTTTATCCGGCCTCGCTTTACGACATCAAGATAGACGATGCTTGATCAATTCAAGCACTCGGACTTTGTCGGCTCTGAAGTGTCCTCTTTAAGGGGCAGCAGAAGATGAGGCAATCAGCCATCTTGGCATCAACACGATCATCCAACAGGCAAGAGCTTAAAAGTAATCCCCAGCCCTGTTTGGGATCCAGTGTGATAAAGACAACACGTCCATCCTACTCTCTTCTCTAAGCACACGAAGCATGCTGGCACACGGACACTAGTTGGAGCTATGCAAGTTGAAAGGCTTCGCTAGCTAGAGCCAGGGCGGACTTCTGACTGCGTAAGGAGACATGGATACTTGTGACAACAATCCTGCATCTTCCCGGGAATGGGACAAGGTGGGAGCCGTGGCCGGGAAAAGGTCAAGAACAGGTATGGCCTCTCAAACTAAATAAAGGTCTCAACGTGCACGTTTGAGCGAACAGATCCTTGGCTTTGCTCTATCTGCCCCTGGGAGCACTGCGTGAAATTTCTGGAACCTGTCCACAGCGGAGCGATTGCAGAAGTGATTAAAAATCACGATTCTGAGTACAGAATGAAGGGAAAACGAAGCCAAAGTTCCATGATGATGAGGACTGCAAGATCCCAACTCACCTGAAGAAAGAGACCGACTGTATTAAACGATGCCTTCAGAATACCACATAAGAAACGATACCAAGTTCCAGCGCTGGCGAAGGAGCCAGCATTGCTTACCGAGCATCTTCTTCTGCTTGTAGGAAGGGGACCACTGCGTAGCGCGCGCTCAACTTTTCCATTTTGTAAGCTCTGCGATGATGGACAAGAAGCTGTCAGGTACGCGTCTTTGCACTGCTTACCAGAATACAACAGCGCTTCTTCCCCAAAAAGCTTGCATCATTTCAAGGTGCCATTGCTGATCCTCGACCAACGAAGCCCCCGAATCCATGTTTTATTCAGAAGTTGTCAAACATCATGTTATCAGAATCAGGAGAAGTAAGAGATTGTACAGGCAGCACAGAGCTGCACTCTGATCACCATGGCGATGCCAGGCTTTCCTATGCTCGATCAATGAAGGCGGCAAGCTCTGACAGTTTCTTACAAAGTCACTGCCGACAATCACTCAATGACTGCTGTTCCTTGGCCAGGTGCAAAAGAACCTTTGCAATCCCGTCTGCAGAATCATGCTTGGATGGTCGAACTTCCTTATCGAAACCACACGATACATAAACCCCTAGAATCAGGATCGTTAAAAGCCTCTCAGGCATTCCTTTCGTCCAAAAGGGACACCTCGCGCAAAACGTCGCCTAATACAGACTTACGCTCTGATCTTGTTGCCTTGGCCCACTTGGTAGAACCCCCACATGATAGCCACGGCACCAATGCCAAATACCGTGTATCCATGGGGACCTGTATTTGGGATCCTGCGAGCGTACCGCACCCCAGGAAAACCACCCGGGGGAGGCCCGTCCTGAAGAAGCGGCATGTCCTTTACGCTGGACATGCCCTTCCGGCCTCGGATCGCAGCCTCCGTCATGGTGACCGTGCAAAGTACAATGCACCGAGGAAAGTGCTTGTATTGACGTTCACTTTGGGTTAAAAAGCATCGAATGCGTCTTGCCCAGCTGATTAGGGCACGCGGATCCCGCTACAATCTTTTAGGTAAAGCTTTTTGAGGTGATACTTGCAGTGGCTCGTTCAAGAGCTGTGACGTGATCCGACCTCTGCTCCGAAATGTTGCTAACATGCAACAAAGACGATGCACCAGATAAAGCAGAACGCGTGCTACTATGAGAGATTTCGAAGCACTCTTGCGCAGACACTGCAGTAATGACAGGCGGCTAACCCGCGACTAATCGCCTCTGCTGCTTGACAGGATGCAATGCTTCCTTTTGTCCTTCCTACTTCTGAAACCAACAAAGTGGACGCTGCGATTAGAGTAAGATGAAGAATGCAGTTTTGTGCGCAGGCAAAGGTGAGACTCAGAG